TTTTACCTATTAGATAAAAAGCAGCCGTCTATTAAGCAACAAATAAAGTGAACGCATACAAAGATTACAAAGATCTAACCTCTTTAAAGTAAACTGGATTTAAGAAAACAACAACCTTGTAAATATTATTTATTTGTTGAAATATGTACATGGTTTGTGAGTATTAAAGTATTTAAATTGAATATACAAAACAAGATTATTACATGGATAATTTAAAAGATATATTCATAGAACAAAGCCGTTTTATTTTTGACAATATTTATTGTAAGGAGATTTTGATTCTCATTTAGCTTAATTTTGAATTTTCATTCATCTTATCAATCGCATCATCAATCAAGTTATCAAATAAGAATAATTAAAATTTACAACATAAAATAATACATACTAATTAGAGTAGTCTATGAATATGTGCCGATATGCTAATTATTCGCCATATTTCATTAAATTAGAATGTTATCTGTTGTTTAATCTGCTTCTCTCGTAACATAGTGTAACATTGTTGCCAATATAAAATATATTTGTCTGTCAAATTTAAAAAAAAAATTTAATTATTCTTATGATTGACCATAAATCGTATGAAGACGTATTCAAATTTTACAATATTTTTTAAATAATTGCTCTGTGATTGCGAATAAATTGTATTGCTGTCATAATAATTCTCTTATTTGTTTCTTATTAAATATTATCAAAAATTAGGTAATAAAATAATAGCGTTAAATGTATTTGGCAAGATGTTTTTATGGACAAAAATTCTTGTACTTACTGTGAATATAGTATATAGTGTGTATATATAGTGTAAGTATTATCCGACAAGCGAGAGCTGGCGGGTTGCGCTTAGAACAAATTGAAAAGTGGAAGGGATTGCTCATTTCTATTGCAGTCGGGTAGGAGTTCACATCGTGTAATTAGTGCTATATCTCTGACAGTGTTGTCAAGTATTTACATTTTTATTTGGAGTGACCCTATATTATAAACTATTATTTATATTTATTAAAATGGCAAGTGTATTAAAAGGCAAACCTTTGGGATCTTAAGCACGAGAAATAATTTTCAATGTTTTTAAGTGTACAACCGAAGAAGCTAATGCAGATAAAGTCTTAGTTGATTTAAAAAAAGATACAAGAACTCTCCTATCTCTCTTAGAATAATTTTTCCTTTTCTATTTTCGCGCAGCTCACCCGCCAGCTCTCGCTTGTCGAATATAATACCATTGTAAACGGATGTAAACTAACAATATGTAAACTATTAAAAAAACAATGAATATAGCAATAAAAATTATTATCAATTTGTGATTATTTTTGTAAAATAGTATAAACAGAATTTTCGCATTTATTGAATCTACGAAAAAAAGACTTTTTGGGGTCAGGAGAGCGGGTGGCTAGCTAAAATTGAGCTGTTTTATTTTTTTATGAGTCTCAAAAATCTCAAAAAATACAAGTAACCCGCAAAAACTCTTAAAAACCGTAAAAACATGGATTTTTTGGGGAGCTTGAACGAGTTTGGCTCAATTTTTAAATGGCCTAAGAAACTCAGTTACTTCAAATTATATATAACTTATAAAAAAAATAATTTTATATATTTTTAAGTCTATAAAATGGGGAAATCCACAAAAAACTTCAGAGAAATCTAAAAATATCAAAAATTTGTTTTTGATAAAATACACAAAATAAAAAAGTTTAGACATACAGTTCTATCCAGAAAAAGACGCTTTTTGAAAAAATGGAGCATTTTTAGGTTATGTTCACTCGACCTAGGGATCTATAAAAAATTGACATGTTTTATAAAAACAACTATGCGTGTGAATTTTTTAAAAATTTTGAATTGATTTTCTTCCACCTAGAAAAATGACGTTATTGGTGGTGGGACAGGAGAGAGGGGGTGGTGGGTTAAAATGCACGTACGAAGTCTAATTATTTGTAATCACATATAAGGTAAGTAATTCTGAGAGTGAGGGCATTTTGCCTATTATAACCGGAGGTATCGTTTTTCAGCAGTAGACATAGTCTGATGCTGCACAGAAAGTTGGATTCGGACTGGAAAAAAATTGTGTTTAACATTTTTAATAAAACCGACCAAAACCAGTATAAAAGAACTCAAAGCTCATTGGATGAGAGTCCATTAATTGTCATTATGGAGATAATACTAATTTGTTGTACTTTATCTCATGTAAAATATTGTATGGTATTTAACTAAGCAAAAAAGATGAAGGTGTACAAGCCATTCAGCTTTGAAGAATACATCTTCTAGGCTAAAAGAATGAAGGTGCTACATATGCAGGCTAAAAGGATGACAGTCCATCTAGTTCAGATTGCTTACCTCAGAGGTCTCTGCTATATGTGCTGTTTGTTGCCCAGATGTTTTCTAAGCATTCATACTTGTGTTTATTTACAGTTTTCTGCAATTCTGATGTAGATTGGTGTTATTTTATTATTGAAGTACTGTGTTGTTTAAAATGTCCGACAACGAATATTCTGTAGCAATTGAAACCTATTCAAGGAAAAGAAAAGGTTTTGGTTATATGTAAGATGCAATGAAAAAATTGAGGTTATGTAGCCATCAGTTAGGACCAGTCTTAAGTGTTTCAGACTTAAGTGCGTTAAAAGCTTAAGCTTAATGTAAATAAAATGTTTTCTTTATAAAAAATTATTTTATGCTTATTCAAACAATAAAACATCTCTGAAAAAGTGCAGGCAAATATTTCATTCTAATTTTAACTTGTCTTTTGGCTATCCTAGGTGTGACACCTGCAGTACCTGTGATGAACTTACAGTAAATATTGACGCAATATAAATATAAGTTAACCCTACCTGCTACAGCTAATAATCACAATGATCTTGCAAAACTAAAATGTGAACTAAAAACTCTTTTGCAAACAAAATAATTGCATTTAAGGAAAGCTGCTTCTTTTTACAATATTAAGGAAAGTGATCGGCTTGAAGCACAAAAAGACAAACCAAAAGAAGCGGATTTTCAAAAGAACCTGCCTGTCCCAAACGTTAGTACTAACGATTTTTATTATCGTAGGCAACTATCATTTTACATGTTCAACAGCATTAATTTTTGGATTCAGAAATCTATGGCAAGACAGAGGAGATGAGGATTCTTTGCTTTGGGATTTTATTTTTGATCACCTCGACTTGCAAGTAAAAGATCTTAAAATTTTCTGCGATTCCTGCGCAGGTCAAAATAAAAATTACGCCGTTTTCCGTATGCTTCACTACATTGTACGCTATACTAAGATACATGATAAAATAACAATGTTTTTTCCAATCAGAGGAAACTCGTACCTCGACTGCGACAGGGCCATGGGCTTAATCAATCAAAAATTTGTGGTTGAAACTCCTTCCGAGTGAAACGAAATTATTGAAAACTCCAGATCTAAACCGAGGCAAACTTGCAGTTTTCATAACACACTGTTTTTTTATTAGGGCAGGTTGTTGGTCTTCCGCTTAACTCTCCTTCTTTATCCGGGCTTGGGACTGGCAAGAAAGAGAAGAAAGGACAAAAAACAAGAGAACAAGGAAATGGTTTGATGGAGAATGTCAAGAAAAACTACACGGCAGACAGATAAAGCGACACATTATGCTTCAACAAGGAACAGCAGAAAAGTAAAGAAAACTATGCAACTTCACACCGAAAAAAAAAGAAAATGAATTAGAGAGAAAAAAGGAAGTCAAATAGTCGAGCATTTTACAAATCAGTGTCAAACGAAAAGGAAAACTTTATACATATAGTAAAATTCATTAAGCGACGCAGGAAGATGTAAACATTAAATCGTGTCCGAACCGGTATGATCTGCCGACAACGTCGGCAGACGAAATAAAGATGGACATTTCGGTTAGTTTTTAAATATTTTTGAAGAACCTTTACTTGCATTTATGCATAAAATATTCATTAATTTTATAAATGGGATTATTTTTTCACTTTCTATGTATTCAGTGATAACATTAATTTATTTACTATGCAATAAACACGAATATTTGAGAAGTGAAAAAAATAATAAAGTGTCATAATTATACTGTTACTTATCGGAACGAGTAGACTCATTTGGAACATCTTTAACAATTATCTGTTAAATTTATCGTTGCTTATATGCCCTGCATCGCTTAATGAAATAAGGTATAGATACGTGTCTGTACTCAGAAAAAATGAGATGAATTAATAATAAATGAAAAAGAACTGCTCCAAACATGGCAAGAATATTTCAAGACTTTAATAAACATACATCAAGAGGAAGAACATGGAGAAAATATACATTTTAGGGTGGACCTTCCGGTAGAGGACCCCAAAATAGATGAAACATTGCAAGCAATCAACAAATTGAAGAATGGAAAAGCTCCAGGCTCTGACAATATACTGGCTGAATGCCTTAAGTACGGAGAAGAAACTCTACATAGACAAATACACAAACTAATAACACTTATATGGAACGAAGAGAAAATACCAACAAAATGGCACGAAAGTGTAATAATCCCCATCCATAAAAAGGGAGTTAAAACCAAGTGCTCTAGTTATAGAGACATCTCCCTACTTTATACGGCATATAAAATCTTATCGAACATCCTATTAAGTAGACTGACACTAAGACAGCTGCTTAAAAAGGATGGGAATTCAAAAAAACTATCCATAATCTCTTCAAAGATTTCCGGCAAGCGTACGACAGCATTAAAAAGCATCAGTTGTGGAATGCAATGGCAGAACTTTCATTTTAAGACACGTTAGTGGACCCTCATCCTTTTAGCCCTGAGCTCTTCATGTGTAAAACGCTACAATTTTTTTTTAATTTAATTTAGGCAGCCACATTTAAAATTATATTGGGTGAATGCGACTAATTGTGTCAAGATGTCATGTCACATGAAAGTTCTGTAAAACAGTTCTGTAATCACTATTCATGTATACCAAATATTCACTAATCTGGATGAGACCTCTCCAGTTATTGTCAATATCAGGATTTCGGAATTTATGCACTTGTTTGGCTTAAAAATCTATATCAACAATATATATCTACACAGAAAACGTATATTTTGCAAAAAATCTAAAATAGTAACAAAAAACAATCAAATATACAGGTACGCCATTGTAACAAATATAAACGTGACAATTCACGTTGAATGTTCATCGCTGACTATGGTATTGCCGTTTACTATTGGACTGCCTACGGAGTTTGTCATGGGGGACGTCGGGTGCTTGTTTCGAAGTTCAAACACTTGTTGTATGGCGTTGCGGAAACACAAGAAATTATAATCAATTATACCTAAAAATTAATTGCCATTAATATAATTTTAACCAAAATCAATTGTTATTTAACAATAAAACACTCAAAACTTTGTTTTCAAACTTCCACAAAATTTATTTTAAATCTTATCACTACAGCTGTTTCGGCTGATTGCCTTTCTCAAGTGATCTATTTTTGGCTTGGGTTTACAAATTTATAGTCTCTAATGAAATAGGTTGAGGAGGGGAGAACTGTTTGTCTCAAGTTGGCCATTCAGAATTATATCTGTGTTTTTTAATTTGTTGATTTCCATAGATTCTAACAAAGATAGCTTAAGGGCTTTATTTTGAATGTGAAGAATTTTAAATTTGTCATTAAAAGAATGATTATGATCTAGAAGGTGAAGTGCGTATGTCGAATCTGTTTTTCTATTCTTGAAAGCCCTTTTATGTTCTGCTATTCATTTATCAAAGTTTCTACCAGTTTGACCGATGTAAGTTTTTGGGCAGTCGCCACATTGAAGTTTGTACACACCACTATTTAAGAGTTTTTTATTTTGGCTCTTGTTATTTTTAATATATTTGCCTAGGTTGTTATTTGTTCGGAAAGCTGGTGTTATTCCTTTCTTTTTTATGTGTTTGGCAATTTTTGTTGTTATTTTGCCTGTATATGTAATCGAGCAGAAAGTACTGGGTTTTTTCTCTGGTGGTGGAAATACTAATTTCAGGGCTTTCTTGTGTAGTTTTTGATTTAACATTTTATTAATTGTTTGTTCGTTGTATCCGTTGTTTACTGCTATTTGTTTAATTATATTTAATTCTGTCTCAAAGTTGTGTTTTGACATCGGAATTTCTGTTAATCTATGTAACATACTATGATAAGCTGCCAGTTTATGTTGTGTTGAATGGGATGATGAATTGTGTATAGTCGCGTCAGTATGGGTAGGTTTATGAAATATGGAGAAGTCATGTTTGTTTTGAAGTCTGCTAATTTTTAAATCTAAAAAATTTATGGACTGATTTTGTTCTGTTTCTATTGTAAATTCAATATGACTATGAAGTGAATTAATATACGATAAAAATTAGTCGAGTTGCCTGTTAGTTCCTGTGAAACATACCAGTACGTCGTCTACGTATCTCCACCGATATAAAAACTGTTTGAATACGGGATGTTTTGAAATCTTTGTCTCTAGATGATCCATAAAAATATCTGATAGCAATGGGCTTAGAGGATTACCCATTATAAGTCCTGCACTGTTATTTGTATATATTTTATTATTAAATTCAAAGTAGTCCTGGTTTATACAAACTTCAAGAAGATGTAAAATTTCAGATGTAATTATTGGATTTGTACTATTTTGGTCTAAAAGGTTTTTTACTAGAATAAAAGTTTCTGTAGGAGGGATACTAGGAAAAAGATTTTTTACGTCAAATGAAATTAATCTGGAGTTGTTAGGTAATTGAAAATGTTGTATTTTATTAACTAGTTCTATTGTATTTTTTATGGTAAATTTAGGTGAAAATTTAGTGTGTTCTAAAATAATCTCTAACAGTTTTTTTGAAATTTTATATGACGGAGCTGTATAAAAAGAATCTACAGGTCTTATTGGGTGATCCGGTTTGTGTAGTTTAATGAAAGAGTATAATTTAGGAGGTTGTGGGTTCATGATATTGAGGTATTTCTGTTCTATTGGATTTAGTATTGATTTTGAATTTTCTAACGCAAGCTTAATTTGTTTTTGATATTTTTCTGTCGGATCTTTGTGTAAAATATTTTGATAAACAAATAGCAGAACATAAAAGGGCTTTCAAGAATAGAAAAACAGATTCGACATACGCACTTCACCTTCTAGATCATAATCATTCTTTTAATGACAAATTTAAAATTCTTCACATTCAAAATAAAGGCCTTAACCTATCTTTGTTAGAATCTATGGAAATCAACAAATTAAAAAACACAGATATAATTCTGAATGACCAGCTTGAGACAAACAGTTCTCCACTCCTCAACCTATTTCATTAGAGACTATAAATTTGTAAACCCAAGCCAAAAATAGATCACTTGAAAAAGGTAATCAGCCGAAACAGCTGTAGTGATAAGATTTAAAATAAATTTTGTGGAAGTTTGAAAACAAAGTTTTCAGTGTTTTATTGTTACATAAAATGAATTTTCATCAAGTAACGGTGGAATCCATCAATTATTCAATTGTTATTGTATAGGATGTTTCACACAGAGAAGATAAAGACAGGAAATGGAACATTGATAACATGTATGCATGTTTTAAAGTCTATAAATTGTTACATTCCTGTACAAGAAATATAGCATATTGTAACATTTTTTTTATAATTAGATTAGTAAATAATTATTATATATTACTTTAAGATTAATTTTAAAAACCTTTTGCGATTACCGCAGCGACGCCAACGACCGTATCCAAAAATCTCGCTTTTGCACCTCGCCGAAGACAAAACTAATGATAGGTCCCAATATAGTCCTGTATGAGAATGTAACGGTACTTTAGATTTTGTATCTTTATAGACCTAATTCTTCAATATCTTTCAGCTTTTTTATTTCTTAAAGGAAGTACCGAAACATGCAGATTACTTGATGGTCGCTTTGTTAGAAATTTTAGAGCAATCGTTAGATTTTTGTTAACAAAGAACATTTAGGCCCCTTTTTTTATAGCGCTAGGAAGAGTAATAAAATTTGTTAAACTTCTTACAAATACCTTTACTTTAAAAAAATCTTTCCCTCAATATGGTACAGTAATTTACCTTTTATTACCAATGACAGTTAAGCGTTGCCAATGCCAGAATGGCCCAAGTCATGAGTCACTATGATTTTTAAAATGGAGTATAAAATTACAATGCCAAAACAATACTAGTGTCGCCATCTGTTATTCTCGGAGAAAACTAATCTTGGGCTACTGTCACTTTGAAAATATTATTATTTCACATTGTTTTTTTGTGATAAAATCTAAATATGAAAAAATGTCACTTGGGCCACTCTGGTTCTGGTGGCCTCATTTCTTTCTCTGGAACAATTACTTCATCAATTGCACTTTTCAGAACTTTTATTAACCCGTCTGGCGATTCAGTTATTGAATATATTTTGTTTTGTTTACCTACTGAATTTTATCTATCTACTCCTAATAATTTTCCTGATAATAGAGTATCTCTGAATTTTTGCTAATAAAAATATTTACCTATCATGATATCTTCCACCAGGGGAAAGATCAGGCTGTATATGTTTGTAGGTAAGTAGGTGGACGAATTAGACCGAACATATTATTTATTATTTGTTTATGTAGTGTTTTTAGGTGTTGGCCCTGTTTCTTATTTTCTCTTATCTTTGGTAATTTTACCTATCTCTCTTGTTATCCATTTCTCTGTCTTTACTAATTCATTTTATCTTGTAATTATCTTTATTATTTCTTCTATTGAATCATTCCTGGTTCCAAAAGCTAGTTTCAAAGCCCCGACTCGCTCTCCACCAACCATCTATTGCTGCCGCTCGAAGTGTCTCCATTGGTGACCTTTCTAGCACCATTCAAAAAGGTTTCCGAGGTTACACAATTATTAGGACCTGCCTAGGAAACAAAATCAAGACCTTAAGACGAAAGAATGGTTATTGAAAAATTGAAAGATCAGGAAAGATGGATAAATCCTAGTCTTCTCGATCGAAGAAGTCTCTTACAAAGCATCAAGGATTGTTCATTTCAAGACATATTGTAGAGTTGGAGAGGTGTCCTTTAAGACGATTAGAGACCTTGATAACTCCAATGAGAGTCCTCGAATATAGTCAGGCAGACAAATAAATACAAATTGTGGATACATAAAAGAAAACAGTACCAGAAAAAGGCTAAATCGAATTCTTACCTTTATGATCAAAATTGTCTTCCCTTAATATACAAACTAACGCTAAAAACTTATTTACTTCTCTTAAATACAAAACTGTTCCGTTATTTAACTTTATTAAACTGGAACTTTGTTCGTCAAAGGCCGCTGGATCTTGTTCCTCTTTAATTCTAAAAATAAAGAAAATGATTACGTACATAATAGGCATATCGTCGCTTAAGATGCAAAAGCTCGTAACCCACAAATAAGTTTATTTACAGGAGAATAAAAAAGCGTTATCTGCGTGCGAAAATCTTTAAACCTAAATAGATAATTATTGATTTAATATCAAGATATTATTATAATATTGGAAAATACATAATTTTTTTAATTTTCAAAACTATTTTGGTCTAGGAAGTGTGGTCTAGGAAGTGTGGTCTAGGAAGTGTGGTCTAGGAAGTCTAGGCAGTGGGTTACTAGGAATTGCTACCAAATAATAATGCAGTGTGGGGTTTAAGTGTTATATTGAATTGAAAAGTTATTTCGAAACTAAGTTTTATTTATAACTAAAGTAGATATAAAGTAAATAATTAATTATATTCGATATTATCGTAAAAATAATGACAATCAGGAGGTCATAACAGCTTTTAAATCTTGAAGATGTTTCCATTTCTGAGCCTTTATTTTTCTGTTTACCAAATGCATTTGGGGCAAAACAGATTTGTTGTCTGTTTCGACGCTGCGGTAGTTCTACCCATAAATCATCAAGATGAGTTTGTAGAAAATAACACCTTCGGGTGTATATTTAATAGCTCTAATGTCAGTCACATTTTTGTTCCCTGGTCGTATACTGGCATACATCTGGTTTTCTTTTTTCGAATAATCTTTAAACCGATCGTACGTTACTCATTCGGCCACATATGGATAGGGATTTTGTCTAGCTTCACAAGTAATAGAAAGATAAGTTGAAGGCAGATATATATCACGTCCTTTTATTTTAGTTTCTATTTGACTGTTTCTATTCAATTATTTGATTTCTACTTATAGAGCAAAAAATCAGTGCATTTGCCATGATACTGTTACGGTTTTGATATGTACATCCATCACTGTACACTGGAAGTGGCAATTTGCTATCCCTAAACCGTGTAATATAGTCCACAACCAAAGAGGCGGACAAATCAGTTTCTATTTCGCTAAACCAATAACACATAACATGTTTTGTCTTTATATTCATTATGGCGAAATTATGATAACATAATTTTGTTTTATAATATATAGCACTTGCGTTAAGGCTGGGACATACCTTAACAGCTTGTAGATCCATCATTAACACGATGCTCGATTCATATTAAGCTAGCTTGGTGCCATTCAGTTTTTCTTGTCTTGCTCTTTCCTTCTTAGTAATATGATTGGCAAAAGATTCCTCATCCAGGTTTCCTACTTCATGTTGACAACAAATGTCACATTGATCTTTTTTGGGCAGATATGTTCGAAAATCGCAATAAACTTAATGGCTAATAAATCGTCATTTCGATAAAAGTGTGGGTTACGAGCTTTTGCATCTTAAACGACGATATTGTGTTAAAGATACCAACATATTCACAAAGTTGATATTGTTTCATGCAAAATTCTTCTGTCTCTAGTCACCAGTGCAATTGAAATTCTAGTTATATTTTAACTTCTGATCTTTTATTTAAACCTGATCTTATGATCTTTTATCAGTTGCTTTAAAATATGGAAAATTAGCGGTATGTATATATAAAAGTACTTACCCATATATCCAAGAAACATCTATCACTACATCTATCATATCACAACATAATTCGTAGCTTTGCATATCCACTGGTGTAGAATCTGTTGCAATGTAAATCTTTGAAACTACATCGAATAAAAACGATTTTTCAATTGCTGAATTCTAAAAACATAAATATTTAAAAACATTTTTTGCAGAGCAGGGACTACCGAAGAAATATAAAATGAATTAAAAAGAAAGCAAAAAATATAAAGTATATTGTGATAAAGCTAAAATTACCAGAGCTTTCAAAAATATTTGTCTATCAGTCTGCTGCAAGAATCAATATAAAAGTTGGGTCAAGTGAGAAGCATTTAGTGAATGGTTTTATAGAGACTTTGTTCCAGAAGTAAAAAAGAATTATGAAAAGATCTAACTTGTCCATAAAAGTTTTACTTCTACTTGACAATGTTTAAGTCCACCCAAATAACCAAAAACATAGATCAAATGGTCGAAATATCCAAACCATCTTCCTACCACCAAACTACATACCTTTATTGCATGGTATGCAGCGATTGAATAAAGAAATCGGGATTTGGTGGCCATATGAAGCCAAAAGACCACGAGGAAAACCGCAAATGCGCTGGAGCGCCGACATTAAAAGAACTGCAGGACCGATGATGAAACGTCTTACAAAAAACAGAGATGAATGACGAGAATTAGGAGAGACCTATATTCGGCAATCCGAATAGAAAGAAGGGCTTAAAAAAATGATAGGTTTTAAAATTTATTAGCAAAAATATTCGAGATAAGAAGATTTAAATTCTTCAGAAACCAAAGAAGCATAGCAAGTTATGACAGATGGAGAAATATGTGAAGTAGTACAACAAGAAGAAGAAAGTCCAGCAGAAATATTGAATCCACCTACTACAACTGTAGAAGTAAAATCAAATACAGCATTTAATTGTTTCCATACCTGCATAATATGACCTGAAGAAAGTAGTGTATCTGCCCCAAAGATATCACAATTCTTTAAAACATGTAAAAAATAGTTTTTAAACAAGGACTCTTCTTCTTTTTCTTTGGGTGCCGTGTCCGTATTCAGCCGTCATCATGTTTACAATTTCCTGAAACCTTTCTCTGTCGCCTGCTGCGCGAAATAATTCTTCTACTGTGGAACCACACCATTGTCTAATATTACGCAGCCATGAAAGTTTCTTTCGACCAATCCATCTCTTTCCTTCCACTTTTCCCTGTATTATAAGGCGAAGTAGATGGTATTTAGGTACTCTAATTATATGGCCGAAGTATTCTGTTTTTCTCCTCTTTATGGCGTTTATGAGCAGACGTTCTGAATTGAACATTTGAAGAACATCTTCATTGGAAGTGTGCGAAACCCACGATATCTTTAGGATTCGTCTATAGCACCACAATTCGAATGCTTCTAACTTGTTTAGCATTGTGGTTTTTAACGTCCATGTTTCACAACCGTACAATAGGATGGACCACACATAACATTTCAGGACCTTCTTAGGAATATTCATCGACAGGTTTCTGTTGCATAAAACTGGTTTCCACGTCATAAAAGCCTTACGTGATTTCGATCTTGGTTATTATCTCTTCATCAGAGTCACAATTTACATTTAACCAGCTGCCAAGGTATTTGAAATGATTTACCCTTTCGATCTCCTTTCCATTAAGAGAAATCAGACCTTGATCTATATTGATCTTTCCAACTGCCATCCACTTTGTCTTTGAAATGTTGATTTTAAGGCCTCTCCGATAACTTGCTTCACCTACTAGAGGAAACAAGGACTACAAGTTGTTAAAAAGCTACTTTTTAGAGCGGCAATCAACAGAGTTCGCATAGCCATGATGATTTCCAACCTTCGATAGAAGATGGAACTTAAAGAAGAACAAGTTTCTAAAAAACAAACCTCAATTAAGGATTATTTAAAACTATGTGAGGCGTACGACTGTCAATTACAAAAAAGTGAAGAAGATATTGCTACTTCATCGTTTATTGAATGAGTTTTGTTTATGAATATAAGAACTTGCAACTATCAATATGATGGAAGTGAATCATACGGTTAATTCAGAAACCATAGAAGGAAAAACAGAACTAAGTCAGTTTTTATGGCCATGCTGACTTTTATAATCTTGAAACAGAACGATGATAGAAAGACGGAACAAAATTAGAAACGACAAAGAGGAAGACTTTTGTTCATCGGACTAAGTTGACAGAAGATAACTTAGTTAGATGAACAAAACGAATTAACAGATAAAATAACAAAATTAATGCAAATAGACCAAAATAAAGAATTATAAAAGAAAAAGTGTGTCCAAAGATAGATATTCTTGACTAATTAGATACATAGATACCTCCAACCTTTCTGCTAAAAAATTGTACGTGCCAATTCTTACTTCAACATACTTTATAAAAATTACTATACTCACCGTGTTTAAAATGTTAAGTAAATTTTCTAATGCTGGCAACTGTGGAATTAGTTTTTGTACAACTTTGGAAAAAGCTTCGAAGATTGAGTGGTCGTATATAGATGTGAGATGAAAACTAAGATGAATTTGATCATAACCTGAAAACATGTATGTTTAAAATACTAATTAAAAGCTAATTTAGTGTGTTTTTTCACCATCTTTTCAGTGAGCCTACTTACAAGTGCGTGACATAAAAAATATTAGTTTATTATAAATGTTTTTCTACTCGCTTACTAGTAAATTGTATATTACCTACTATTTGGATGCTAAGTAAATGCATCATAACAGATACTGACACGTAATGACTAGCACGTAATAAAAAAAATTACGCTTCAGTTTTATAAAAATGTGTAATATCACATAAGCCTTGTAAGTCAGTTGGTCGAGTTACCATAGAAACGAATTAACAGACGTTATTTTGACAGATTAAAAATTATTAATCTGTCAGTGTAAATATAGTGATAATTTAATTTTTAATTTTATAAACGAAAATAATGGTAGAAAAAGTATAGTACATAACTTGAGTTGTAAGCTTATTACATGCTTGTAAAATTACTGCGCTCGCCGCTACGCGGCTCGCGCGCAACTTTTTTACTCGCATGTAATAAGCTTCTTACAACTCTCGTTATGTAATATACTATTATGAGCTAAAAAGTCAACATTTTCAAACCGTTATTTTAATAACAAATTAATAAAACATTGAAATTGTTTTAATACACATAACTTAAAATTGAAGTCTCAAAGAATCGATTGCGATCTGCTAAATTAGAGTCACTATTTGGATAAGTACAGTTGTTTAAATATTCGCTTTCCGAGAAAAACAAATTGAACTTACAAACTAATGGTCGATCTAGCTCAGATTTAACACACTTGAATAACTCATAAATTGTCATAACTTCAAGTAGTTATATTACGATCGCAAAGATATTCAACAACATATACAGCTCTGGAGAAATACTAACAGAATGGCTGAAATCTGAGTTTATTGCACTTCCAAACAAACCAGGAGAAAAAAAATGCGAAGATTACCGTACTATAAGCCTCATGAGTCATCTAAAACTGTTCCTAACGATAATTCCTAAGAGAATCTACAAGCTGTGTGAAAGTCAAATTTCTCCAAACCATTCCGGTTCACAAATGCTGTTGGTACTAGAGAGGCTTTGTTCTCAGTACTTATTAAGTCTCAGCTTATTCCAGAAATGCAGAGACGTCAACTGCGACGTATACGCATGTCTGGTTGATTACGAGAAAGCGTTTGATCGAATCCAGCATGCCAATATGATGCAAATACTAAAAGAAGAAAGAATTAACAACCAAGGTCTAAAAATAATTAGAAATCTTTACTGGAATCAGACAGCAAATCTCAGAGTTGAAGGTGAACACACTGACTGTGTGAAAATCATGCGTGGAGTGAGACAAGGCTATATTTTGTCTCCTCTAATCTTCAGTCTGCACTCTGAACGAATATTTATCGAAGCTTTGTACGAAACTAAAAAAGGTATTCTACTAAATGGTTACCGGCTAAACAACATCAGATATACAAATGACAGTTCTTATGAACAAAATCACGTATTACAGCCAACAATATGGACTCAATATAAACGTTAAGAAGACAAAGCTTATGATAATTAACAAGAAAAGCATAAGAGAAGGTCAACTATATGTCAACTAATACCCTGTACAAAGAGTGACATCAGAAAAGCTAGATTCACCTTCAATCCGATGGGAGCCTTCTTCAAGAGTCACTTGATACAAAAGTATCGTCTTTGTGCAAGATGGAAAGATGACCTGCGCTTTGCTCAATGTCATCTTTCCATCTCATTTGCAGTAGACCTCTTGACCTTTTTGCAGTATATGGTCTCCAGCGGCCAATTTCTTTATTCTATCTTCCATCCTGATATCTTTCGTTATGCCCAGCCCAATATTTCTTCTTTTTTCAAAGAAAGAAGTCTGCAATAGTAGGATACTTGAGCTATTAATACTGAGAAGTAGGAATTGTTGTAGGTTTCCGACAATGAATCTGTCAAAATATGCTCAAGCTAAGCGAATGGAGTATACCATAGATTAGGGTACTGTCAACTCACAAATGAAGCACATTTTGAACACTTGATAAAGAAATCATTATGTTGAAGAATATTGTAATCTATCAATTGTTACGTTTTAATGTAGTGGAAAATAGTTAGTATTAAAAAATTTATTGAGACAATTAGGAGTTGCCAGACTTGTGTTTTGTGTATTTAAGACCTTCCAGACTACATAAAATCATAAATTTTACATATGATTGAACTCGTATTGAATATGAGATTCCATGACTGCATATACAAGGTGATGAATTTGAAAAACCATAGTTACTAATAATATAAGAAAAACGGCAAATCTGGCAACATTGCAAATATCAAATATGGATTCTCCGTATCCGAAAATAGGTGTACCTCAAATTTCGTAAAATTATTACTAGTAATTTACGGGATAATTGGTCGTTTCCAGACTTTTGGACTACTCTGTATATATATCGCAAAAAAAAGACCTTTTTTTTTTAATTGATGAAATTGTGGAGGCTGTTTATAATAAGTAGAAATTTAGTACTATTGTAAAATAAAGGTATTTCAATAACTATTTTATATAATACTTATATATGTATGAGCTAATAAACTTCATCCGGTTGTAATTTATTTCAGAGATTTTTTTTTAAACCTAAATCTTTTGTTAATTTTTCAAAAAGGGGTTAAAGAGTTTTATACTGAACTTGTACACTTGGAAAGGCATTTCGAAATAAAAGTCTTGATTAAGACTACTTCAGATTCTTTTGTAATTATTGTATGTCTTTTAACATTACTTCCTAGATTGCAAATAACTTTGAAATTATTCATTGAACAGTTCTGTAAATGTATGACCTATTTTTTATTAAAAATATGTGTCAGATAAACAAAACATAATTATTATTAAAAATTGCTCTGATTAAGGTTCCAGTTTAAGTATTCGCTACTTTTTATCTCGTTATCTGTGTAGCGCACGTGACTACAGTTCTTTCTACATACTTTTTTTCATGATACATACAAGCGAAGATATGATACCACGCAGATGTGGGCGGGCCTGTTAAACGTCAAGTGACGTCAAGAGGTGACGATCTCGACATTTAGTTTAAGCTGTTTACATTTACATTGTAACGGTTTTAAGCTTTTTACGATTTTTTCACTCTAAAATTATTTTATTATTATTTTGGATTTAAAAATATTGGTGCAAAATTAGGTGTGCTGTAGCAGGTTGTAGTGTGAACAACCAATAAAAATGTTATGCGAACGATATAAAGTTTTTTAGGTTCAAACAATTTTTCTTTTGAAAGCTGAAAGGTTGAAAGTCAAAATTGTAGAAAATAGGTTGCTTCCAATAAATATTTGCAAAAAATATCATATGTATAAATAGGAAAGCAACATAAGTAACCTAAAATATGAGAAATTTTTGTAAACAATTTAAATTAATCTAGCAACCTTATCTAATGAGCTCATGTCAGAGAATTTCATTAAACTGGACACATTTTTTAATATGCCAGGAGCAATTTTTACTTTTTTTTAGCCAATATCGAAGGCAAGAAACTGCAGGAAAAGGGTATCCTTTTTTAAAAGCAATCTGTAAGATTAAGAAAAATATGAGTGTCATATGTTTGCATTTCAATAATGAACTAATGCTGATGAATGAACTATGCCCTTGGAAGGGCAGAATAGATAACAACTATTGCTTTAGGTATGTCCTCAACTTTCCATTTAAGGCGAGTTTTTGAATTTTCTAATTTTTTTAGCTGCTCCTCACTCGTTTTTTACCCTTCAACCATCAATATGTTTTGACGTTCACTACAAATATTTCTCTGGTTTTGCAAATAGAACATAATAAATATATTGTTATTTAAAGCTAATAGTTTTAAAAATTTGCAAAAAATATATATACAAATCGCATAGCAACATAAGTAACCTAAAATATTATGAGAAATTTTTGTAAACAATTTAAATTAATCTAGCAACCTTATCTAATGAGCTCATGTCAGAGAATTTCATTAAACTGAACTCATTTTTTAATATGCCAGGAGCAATTTTTACTTTGTTTTAGCCAACATCGAAGGCAAGAAACTACAGGAAAAGAGTATCCTTTTTTAAAAGCAATCTGTAAGATTAAGAAAAATATGAGTGTCATATGTTTGAATTTCAATAATGAACTAATGCTGATGAATGAACTATGATCTTGGACAGGCAGAATAGATAACAACTATTACTTTAGGTATGTCCTCAACTTTCCATTTAAGGCGAGTTTTTTAATTTTCTAATTTTTTTAGGTGCTCCTCACTCGTTTTTTACCTTTCAACCATCAATATGTTTTGACGTCCACTACAAATATTTCTCCGGTTTTGCAAATAGAACATAATAAATATATTGTTATTTAAAGCTAATATAAACTGTTTTACAAAATGTTTTCTATTTTTTATTTAACCCAAAAACCTATTAAATCTTGGAAAGAAAGTATTTATTTTATGTTGAAATTTAGTCATAAGTCCCCATAAGCTATGGATAGGTAATAGGCCTAGAATAAATCACCCAAGAATCATAACTATAACCTGTTATGCACAAGCTCCAGTGCAAATAAGAAAGAAAATAGACCAAAATTCAATCAAAGGTTATTTGATTAGTTATGAGGGAGAAAATATAGTACCATTTTTCAAAATATTTTTTAATTGTCAGAAATCAGTTCAATTGCATCTATAGGATAATACCTCTATATGCATCCCAGAATTTTTATATATTTAAAAATGACTGATTATATAGACATTTTTCAATTAGAAAAAAATGAGATCGATGATGAAATATTCTCGCAGAATTATGAATATATAACCTAAGACATCGTAATCAAACTAAAAAACCTTGACACAAATTTTCACTGAAAAACAAGTTGTAGATGTAATGACCAAACTTCTAACGGAAATAAGAAATCAGATCCTTCTTTCAAAGACTGGACTGTAGATCCGAAAAATCTTTTTAATAAGAAAAAATGTTAAAATTTAGTGTTAATAAGGTTTTATTCATGTCATAGTTGGTGTGACATAATAATTTTAATAAAAACGCCACTATTTAAAGTTCACATTAGCCTATAAATAGTTTATCTTTAATAAATCCATAATTCACAAAAGTTTACATCCATTATTTTATCACTACGTCTCGTAAAAAGAAATTTAACATAAATAATCCGTAAGATTCCAGTCTGCATGTTATCCGTTGTTTTAAATTGGCGCCATTTATCGTCACCCCTTGACGTCATGCGCAGAATCGAACGAATTTGAAACACTTTGCGATCATATCTTTATATTATAGTATCATGCTTTTTTTTACGTTAACATTAAATAACATAAATGACGTAGTATTAAGGTCAAAGTGTGAGAAATTAGTTGATAGTTGTCGACATTATAAATATTAACAGCGAGCGAGCGAGCATCGGTTGACTTAACCTTAAAATAAGTTTTGACACGAAACACAATGGCAGATTGTCTAAGAAAAAATTTACTGATAGGTATCGGGCATCCTTTATTGGATATGACTGCAACAGTTGAAAAAAGCTTTTTACTTGAATACAATTTAAAAGAAAATGACGCTGTAATAATGTCTGACAATCATAAAAACCTGCAAAATAGATTACTAGAAAGATATGAAGTTGCTTATACAGTGGGTGGTAGTATACAAAACACGTTGAGAATTGTACAATGGATAACAGAATTACCAAATGTCACAACATTTTTTGGATCGGTAGGAAATGATCAATACGCTAAGATATTATATGAGCAAGCTTTATTGGATGGAGTAAATGTCAGATATAAATATATTAGCGGAGAACCTACGGGTACCTGTATCGTTTTGATAACTGGTGAAAATCGATCTTTATGTACTAACCCTGGAAGTTCCAAATATTTTGATTTCGCACATTTACTTACGACTGACAATCAGTTTTTATTAGATACAGCTAAGTATTACTATATGGGTGGCTTCTTTTTAAATGTAAGCATAGAAACAGTAAGAGGAATCTCTAAGTTAGCTGCTAAAGGTGACCGACAGTTTTTGTTTAACTTGAGTGCACCTTTTATTTGTTATCAGCATAGGGACGTGTTGCTGGAATTATTACCGTATGTAGATGTCATTTTTGGAAATAAATCTGAAATAGAAGCCCTTTCTTCTTGTTGTGAATTGGAGGGAAGTACCATAGATGAAACCATTGTTTTATTGTCAAATTGGAAAAAAATAAATAGTTCAAGGTTAAGATTAGTTGTAGTAACGCAAAGCGAAGAACCTGTTCTAGTAGGTATTGATAACAGAGTACTACAATTTTCAGTGCCGAGTTTAAAAAATAAGATCGTAGATACTAATGGAGCTGGAGATGCTTTTGTAGGTGGATTTCTATCACAATTTATCCAAGATCAAGCAATAGAAACATGTATAAAATGTGGCATCTGGGCGGCATCTCAAATAATACAGCAGATTGGGTGTACATATACAGGCAAAGCTAATTTTCAAATATAGTTAAAGTTACTCCAAGATTTGTGTTTTATTATTATCTTAAGTAGCAAATTTCACCAAAGAAATCCATAGATGACTACTTCAGTGGCGGATCCAGAAATTCTTGTCGGGGGTCATGGGTCTTGAGGGTGATTTTTATATAGGATTTATTTTTGCACCTTTACGATTGATACGATTTATGCCTCATGTTAGGAAACGATTTGCTCAATAATTATTTTAAGCGATATATTAAACCAATGAGAAGTTATTAAAATCAAAATACCCTATGGGTGCAAAGAAGGGTACAACATTAAAGAGTCTTAAACTTAAACAAAAAATAAAAATTTAAACCCACATACTCTATGACAATAAAGTCAAGTGTACCGGGTGGTCCAATAAGCCGATCTCTCGGCTATATATCAGAAACTATTCATGTTATAACTTTAGGAGAAAAAATTCCTTAGTAAAAGTGGCCAAGAGAAATCGCTGGAAATAACTTTCAAGATTCTGCATTAACCGCTAGGGGGCGTAACCTGCGAAGAAAATTTTAAAAACCATTTTTTTGGGAAATATGTCCAATTATACCAAGTGTTAAATAAGTAAACTAGAAAGGGGCATAAATTCTGCACAAAGTTGCTCAAGTACTATTTTTTTATTTTTTCAAATAAAAGGTGGGAGAGAGTGGGAAAGTATTTGTGGATAAATACGTATAACTTTGGTTTGGATTAACCGATTTTAACAAAATTAGTGTCATTAGAAAGAGTATGGATAAATTAATTTAAATCTACTATAAAATAATTGCATTTAGTTTTAATTGTCGTAGGTAGAGGGTACTTTCAAATAGAAAAAATTAAAATTTGTTTTTCTTCAAAATTTTTAATGGAAACACCTATTTATTGTCAATTTTAATGGAACTGGATTAAATTCGTAACAAAATGGCGCAAACCGTATGTTGATAGCTTTTATCGAACTCGAGATATGAATAAAAACGCATAAATATAAGTAAGTATAGTATTGACACACCCTGTATTATAAAATAAATTAAAAAATAAATCAGTAGGCACTTTCAAATTTTTTTATAGCAGAAAACTCATAATGTTGATACCTATTTTGACCATTGTTATTTCATATGATTAAAAATTGTTTTTTCGAAACTAAGTAGGCTACGACAATGAATTTGACAGGGAGTTCATACTATTTATTTATTGACAGTAGCCAAAATATTGTTAAGAAGTGTTATATGTATCATAATTCGAATTGAAAATTGCATTTTTTTCAATAGATATTAATATTGGTAATATTAGTAATTAATTATTAGTACTAATAATTCGTGATGAGCATATCAAATTGTATGTATGATTGGAGTTTATTTCGAATATCACCAAAATGGCGCTATTGCCTCACGTATATATTCTGTAAGATATCCTGGCAGGAGATATTGTGGCAAAGAAGTAGAGATTTCGGACTACGTATATGTGGATTCTGTTGAATTAAAGCAAGAACATTGATTGAATTATCATCGGTCATAACTCTACTACGTCGTTTAAAACAAGGACGAGAAAACCTAACAGTTTCTTTTAATCTTTTTCCTTTCTTTCAAATACTTCTTTGTCATAATGTCTCATGTCAGGATATCTTACAAAATATATACGTGAGGCAATAGCGGCATTTTGGTGACATTCGAAATAAACTCCATTCATATCATACAATTTGATATACTCATCACGAATTATTTGTACTGATAATTAATTACTAATATTACCAATATTAATATCTATTGAAAAAAGTGCAATCTTTAATTCGAATTATAATATAGCATTTCTTAACAATGTTTTGACTGCTGTCAATAAATAAACAATATGAACTCCCCGTCAAATTCATTGTCGTAGCCTACTTAGTTTCGAAAAAACTATTTTTTACAAAATGGGTATCAACATTAAGATTCTTCTGCTATAAAAAATTTGAAAACACCTACTGACTTATTTTTTAATGTAATTTATAATACAGGGTGTGTCAATACTATACTTACTTATGTTTATGAGTTTTTATTCATATCTCGAGTTCAACAAAAGCTATTAACATGCGGTTTGCTCCATTTTGTTACGAATTTAATCCAGTTGCATTATAATTTACAATAAATAGGTGTTTCCATTAAATATTTTGAAGAAAAAACAAATTTTAATTTTTTTTTATTTGAAAGTCCCCCTCTACCTACGACTATGAAAACTAAATGCAAGTATTTTATAGCAGTTGTGAATTAATTCATCCACACTCTTTCTAATGACACTAATTTCATTAAAATCAGTTAATCCAAACTAAAGTTATAGGTATTTATCCACAAATACTTTCCCACTCTCCCCCACCCTTTATTTGAAAAAATAAAAAAAAGTAGTTAAGCAACTTTGTGCAGAATTTATGCCCCTTTCTAGTTTACTTATTTAACACTTGGTATAATTGGACATATTTCCCAAAAAACTGGTTTTCAAAATTTTCTTCGCAGGTTACGCCCCCTAGCGGTTAATCCAGAATCTTGAAAGTTATTTCCAGCGATTTCTCTTGGCCACTTTTACTAAGGAATTTTTTCTCCTAAAGTTATAACGTGAATAGTTTCTGATATATAGCCGAGAGATCGGCTTATTGGACCACCCGGTACAAGACTATTACACCAAAGAAAAGTTATTGAAATATAAATACTGAAAAATTAAGGAATGTCAATTTAAACTAGGTATTTTAAAGAAAATTAATTTAAACCCACCTATCTTATGGCTACAAAATCAAGAACAATCCAAGGATAAATAAGTATAAACCAAAGAAAAGTAATATAAATGCAATAACTCAATGTAAGTGTAAACATTAATATATCTTATCGTTGGATATCAGATATCAATTTGTAAAAACATTGAGGCGTATAGAAGCCTTTAAAATGTGTTTTTCGAAGGATGCTGAAGATTTTGTGGACAAAGCACGTGACCAACAACGAGGTGCTGAGAAGAATGAGGACAAGGTTAACAAGTTAAACTTATAATTTTATTCACCTACTTTGGTAAAACAACTACATTTGCATAAATATTGGCGAAGTTCCCTCCGTTTAGGTAATATTCTACTTTGATTAACATATCCCTTATTTATAATAAATTATTTTTTCTTTATTGGCAATTTTCCATGGATAAGTTTTTTCAACCTTTTTGTAAGTCATCGTTTCATTAACCCAAGCGGTACCAACGTTTTCAGGTTCATTTTGGATTTCAAAATGAATTTGATCATTAGTTGGCATCTCAAAAGCTCAACTGTAAAGCGGAACTGGACAAGACTCTAGGCTGGATACCCCCTACCATCAGAAATTACAAAAGATTCGTTGGAGCCGCAATAAGCACTGCCAAAAATCATATACCAAGGGGCTACCAAAAAGAATACATTCCTGGTTGGTCCCATAACAGCGAAGAACTGTACCAAAATTTCCTTGAAAGCGGCGATCAAGGATTAGCCGATGAACTGCTCCATAGCCTAGATGCAGCGAGACAACAAAAATAGACGGAAACTGTAGAAAGTCTTAATTTTGAAACATCAAGTATGTTGTTTTCCCATAACAAGGAACAAAACAATAAATAACCCAAACACTATTGCCTCACATGTGGTATCAACATCTAGGGCCCCAAAAGACAAACCTCACACAATCAGGGTAAAACGAGAGCTCAAAACTTAAAAATTCCAATCTGCAGAAACCAAATACCCTCCCCCTTTCACTTGCGAAGAAGGCACTATAGCTCTCAAAGATGTAAAGCCTCAGGTTTTGACAATATTCATCCCGAATTCTTAATTAACAGCGGCAAAATATGCGAGAGAATGGATGGCACACTTTTTCACAGACATTATGAAGACCTGTACCATACCGCAGGAACTCAAACGCTCGAAGATCATTGCCATATTAAATCCAGGGAAACCCAATGATAACAACCCTAAGAACTACAGATCAATAGCCCTACTATCGGTGACGTTCAAGCTACTAGAACTACTTATATACAACAGATTTAGCCTAAAGCTACTTGAATCAATACCAGTTGATCAGGCAGGTTTTCGATCGAAAAGAAGCTGCGTAGATCAGGTTCTTTCACTTAACACATTTATTGAGGCAGGGTTCCAGAGAAAACTTAAAACTGCAGCCGCATTCATAGACCTAACAGCGGGCCAAGATAGAGTTCGGAGAAAAGGCATGATATACAAGCTCCTCCGTACAATTTCCTGTTAATCCAAAGTTCGAATAATCAACAGCATGCTAGCCGACCGAACGATTCAAGTAGTCATGCAAACCGACATCAGCACCCCAAGAAAACTGAAGAATGGACTGCCTCAGGGATATGTCCTAGCTCCTCTTCTCTTTAGCCAGTACATCGCTGATATACCAGAAACCAGATCAAGGAAGTTTGGTTACGCCGATGACGATGATGAAGTTAAGTGGCATGATATAAAAATTCTTCGCGTTGAAAAAAAAAAGTTCTTGAGTCTTTTTCTATAAAACGACCTACTCTGATGTATATTTCAAGAAAACGGAAGTACAGAAAAGGAAAGCTAAAGTAAATAAAGAAATATTTTCAGAAGGTTTGAAACTTATGTATAATAAAAAAATTCCATTACCTGATGCTAAAAAAATGATATTAACGAACTTATTAAAAAATATATAATTCCGAAAACCTATTATAATAGATATTACAAAAATGTATTAGATTAGGCCTAAATTATTGTATTGATGTCAGTTTAGTTTTTTTTTACATTGCGAATAGTATTTATGTTACTGTCAATATTCTGTTGTATCTCAGTTTAATTTTCTTTAATTTTGGATAGTTTTTATGTTTTCGTCAACATTGTGTAAAAGTAATGACTGCTTTTGAATAAAATACTTTTTGTATAAAATACTTTGTTTGAAATAAATAATATAGTTTTGAAATTAAAATATGATTTTAATAATTACATTTTCTGAAAATCTCTTGTCTATTTCAATAAAAAACTACAGCTTTGTATTATGATTCACATTGACAAATTTGAATTTAAAGTGTTGCATCTTAATTTAATTGCAACAAAAGTGAATTAGTTCAAAATAATTTTAAAATCATGACAGTTTTCATTTTTCAAAAGTGTAATAAGTCAAAAAATCTCACTTTTTTCTATTAAGAATGCAAAGAAGAATTAATAATGCAAGATTAATACAGAATTTCTATGAAGAATGCAATGTGTTTCCAATATGATTTACAAAAGCTTTTAAATCTTTTATTATATCGAATGGATTAGATTTTTCAATTTGTCGAAAAAGTGGTTTTCTTGAGTTACGCTTTTAATACAGGTGTGCGATAATATAATATTGTTGGAGGCCACTTTATATTTTTACAAATATATACGTAGTTTTAATTTATATGTTAGAAATAATTGCAAAAGCATTTTTATTGTTGGTATTTTAATCAAACGTTTAACAATTATTTATAAAATTTATTCTATTTAGCAAAGTTACAAAGTCATTAATTCAGCATTTTTAGAGGAATGATTAATCTAGTTCCTCTTGTAAAAAGAATATTACCCGACGATGTGCTTACTGGATTTATTCACGGCGGACGGCGGGTTGGCGGGTTCGTCGAAAATGACAGCTTACGTCAGTGCCGATAAATGGTAATGGTTAATGGTAAATATAAAAGACGTCAAAAATAAAAAGAAAAAATTAATTGCCATGACGTATTATAATTTTAGATAGTTAATGAATATCAAACTATTCATTTGTCTTGAAAAGATTTTATATTTCATTTAGAATAGTAAAGTTTTAGAAACAACTACAAAAACCTAACCTAAAAGAAGAGACTGGTGTGCACATTTTTCTGGATTTAATAACAATTTTTACAGAACAATTATTTAACAAATTTTATTAAACATGGAAGGAGATTTTATAAAAAACAATTTATTGATAGGTATGGGAAATCCTCTTTTAGACATCTCGGCTGTAGTAGAAACCGACCTACTCGAAAAATATGAACTCAAACAAAATGATGCTATTTTGGCTGAAGAAAAACATAAGCCTATATACGAAGAGCTTACGGCCAAATACCCTGTTCGTTACATTGCCGGCGGAAGTGTTCAAAATACTTTAAGAGTGGCACAATGGTTGCTAGAAAAACCAAATGTAGTTACATTTTTTGGGTGTGTAGGACAAGATAAATATTCAAAAATATTGTATGAAGAAGCTACTTCGAGTGGTGTTAATGTTAAATACCAGTACAGTAATGCATCACCCACAGGTGAGTTTTTGTTTTATCACATCATTGGTTTAATATAATTCTAATTTTAATAATGGGATTAATTCAATACTAATTCTTTGGTCAATTATTTTAATGAGTGATACAAGATGTTTTGTTTAGATACTTGTACATGTGCTATAGCTAATTTAAGCTGTGAAAGATGAAATAAAGAGAATTAATCATTAGACTAATGAAATTCTGTAACATTACATTACAATTGCAGTTGGCTGATCTGCCAGTACTAGTAAAACTATACAGACCACAAAAATTAGCAAGAAAAAGCCTTTTTAACTTTCAATCAAAAGACTTTTTAACAATCCTGAGATCATTATTTGATTTTAAATACTAAAAGTAAAGACTGGTAAATTATATGGAAAAGTGACAATTTTTCACAAGTGACAAGATTCAATTTTATTGAAAAAGCATAGAACATCCTTTAAGATGAGAGTTTGTAAAGATATTGTTGATGAATTTTTGCTTAATTATTGCAAAAATAGCTTCAAAAGTTGATTTTTTGAAAATTATTTCACTAATTAAAATTTTTACTATATTTTTAGGTACCTGTGCTGTGTTGATCACAGGCTATGATCGTTCTCTATGTGCAAACTTGGGTGCTGCCAATGATTTTACAATTGACCATCTGGCTGATCCAGAAAATAAAAAGTTGATAGAAAGTGCACAGTTTTATTACGTTTCTGGATTTTTCTTAACAGTAAATCCAGCAGCTCAAATGGAAATGGCCAAGTATGCTGTAAGCAAAAACCGTCCGTTTGTAATGAACTTAAGTGCCCCTTTCATTTGTCAATTTTTTTTCAAAGCATTTTCTGATGCTTTACCCTACACAGATCTGTTGTTTGGAAATGAATCTGAAGCTGAAACTTTATCGGAGAGTTATAATTTTGGTACCAAAAATGTTGAAGAGATCGCATTGAAAATATCTGAACTGCCTAAAGAAAATGAAAATAGAAAAAGGATAGTTATCATTACCCAAGGTGTTGAACCCATTATAGTTGCAACAGAAGGCAAAATACAGAAGTTTCCTATTGTTCAGTTGCCTAAAGAGAAAATTGTTGACACAAATGGGGCTGGTGATGCTTTTGCAGGTGGATTTTTATCACAATACATTTTAGGCAGAAGCTTGGAAATATGTATAAAATGTGGAGCTTGGGCTGCTGCTGAGATTATTCAGAGAAACGGATGCAGTTATGAGGGAAAACCTGCCTTTAATCCAGAGTTATAATGTTACATAAATAACTTAGGTATAAATTGCTGCCTATCTTTTAAAAAGATATTAATACTAGATTGCATTTATAAATGGATGACTTTATGTGAAAACATTTTACTACCATTTTTTGTAAAAAAAGCATTTTCTTTACTGAACACAAGTACAATAGAATATTAAATTTTTTTGTTATAACATTACTTTTTTACCTTTATCAAAGAATAATTGTAAACAAGTTTATAATTTGATTTTTTTTTAATTAAATAATGTAATTTCAACATTTTAAATAATGATGCAATGTACAATTAAAAAAACATGTAGAATTTTAGAAACAGATTTTATACAATTCTCAGGAAATGTATTTTATAATAAAAATTGAGAATATTGTAAACATATTGATCTTTTTGTGTAATACTTATTTTAACCTATCATATAGAAGCCCAACTCTGCCTGGGAGTTATGAGCGTGATGACTGGGTGGATTGAGTAGCTCAGAAGCCATAGAGTAGGTCCTAAGCCCAGATACGTACGTAGGACATACGTTTGAGAAAACAATGTGTTCACTGGTGAAATTGATGGAAATTAATGGATCAATGTAACGGAAAAGGAAAATGATAGTGGCTTAGAGGAAAAGTTTAACTTACAGTTAATAGATCTTAAACAATCGAAACACCATTATGAGGTCTTACTAACAGAGGATAAATGTAAATTCCAAGAGATCGAAATGGAAGAAATATTCGAACTTACACAAATAATTGAGAAAACAACCGGAAAGTTAAGCGATGACCCCAAAAGATCGAAAAACGGTAAAATCTCAGGAACTGAAGGCATCCCAATTGAGTTGATAAAGTATGGACCAAAATATTACATAAGATGTTGGTTCAACTATTTAACAAATGCTTAAAAGGATAAAATGTCCCTGATTATTGGAATGTTGGATACATCAGCTCAATATTTAAGAAATAGGATAAACGCAAATGCTCTAATTATAGGCGAATAACTGTTATCAGCTTAGTGGGAAGGTTGTACGTTCGAATAATAAAAGAAAGAATAGAATCAGAATACGAAGACAGAGAAGAACAAAATGGATTTCGTGCAGGAAGATCGTGCACTGATGGTATATTTGTTCTGCAGCAGGTAATCGAAAAACGGAAGGCAAGGAATCTATCTACCCACCTATTGTTTGTAGATTTAGAGAAGACATACGATACTGTACCTTTGAAAAAACTGTTTCAAACATTGACGAAAGTAGGTATTAGTAGAGAGTACAAAAATGCGAGAAATGTCGTTAAAGAAGGAAACTTTATATCTGAATCATTTCAACAAAGGTGCTTAAACAAGGATGTTGTCTATCTACGATTTTATTTAATAGTATATTACTTTATGAGGCGGAGAAGCATGACTTTTCTTGACGCGCCCGATATTACGCGCCGAACGAAGTGAGGTGCGTAATAGAGGGCAAGTCAAGAAAAGTCGCTTCTTTGCCGAATAAAGTATACTATTTTTTCTTCAAACGTAGCAATTTTCAAGCATAAATAGTACAATTCATACGCTATTTTTACTCTAAATTAACTGTGACAACTATCAAAGTCGTCTAGATGTTAGAAATTAAAATAATGAAGTCATCGGTGGGATTTGCGTCTCCCTGGTTACAGTTGTTTGCAATTATTAAACACAGCTTATTGTTGTTGCAACCGCAAGCGCAAATTTAGTGCGAAAATGGAAAACCTAAACAAAATTGAGTCGGCGGCTAATGATGCAGTAGCACGTTTGGGGCCCTCCAAGTCCGGAATAAAGTATAGGTTAGCGTACAAGCACTTCCAAGAGTGGTGCGATACAAGAGGAGTACGGCAAGTTACCGAAGACGTTTTACTGGCATATTTTAATATAATGGAAAATGAAAATAAATGGAAATATATGTGGTCACGATACTCTATGATAAAATCCGAGTTAGTTATTAGAAAAAATGTGGATATAAGCATATTTTTAAAGTTACGTGCCTTTCTGAAAAAAAACAAGCGAATGATATACTGCAAAGAAGTCTAAAGTTTTCACTAAAGACGAGTTTGATAAATTATTGTTTGAAGCGCCAGATAAGTTGTATTTAGGATTAAAGGTAAAAAAAATTATATTGCAAAGCATGTAGTATACTCTACTAAATTATAAAAATATTTCAGATTGTTTTGTTAATTGGGGTTACCGGCGCCTGTCGATGCGACGAAATGGTAAAAAATGAAGACTGTGGACATTGAGGATAAAGAAAATGTACCTAATAATTATCAAAATCCCAGACAGTAAAACACGACAAATTAGATCTTACACGATAATTAGTCAAAACTACATTAAACTGTATAAAAAGTATGCATCACTGCGGCCTGAAAATTTCACAGAAAACCGATTTTTTATCAAGTACCAAAATGGAAAGTGTTACTAAAGCGTCATGGGAATACATTCGCTCAGCGCGGTAGCCCAAAAAGTAGCTAGTTATTTAAATTTAAACGATGCAAGCGCATACACGGGTCACTCTTTACGACGAACTTCAACAACACTTTTAATTGATGGAGGCGGAAATCTAGAATGCCTCAAACGATATGGGGGCAGGAAATCAAGCACGGTTGCCGAAGTATATATAGAGGATTCAATAAGAAATAAGAACGATAATGCTCAAAAAATTTTAAACCCTTATGATTCGCCAATATCGGGAATGATTGCTGAAAGTTGTTCTCGACCATCAGTATCATCAACAATTACCAATGCGTATCAAGAGTCGGGAACATTTTTGCACGGTTTCAATTTTGAAAATGCCTCATTAACTAATTGTACTTTTAATATTACTATAAATAAAAATGATGTTTAATTGTTGTTAATGACATTTGTATTGTTGCTTTGTGACATGTTTCATATTGTTGCCATGACAACATTTTTCCCTCCGCCGTAAAGAAATGGGAAAAAAACTGCTGCCGGCGGAGACATCAAACTTTGACAGGATCAAGTTAGATAAGTAATGTCATCATTATTTGACGTTTGAAGAAAAAATATATACATATTCAATCATGATGCTAGAGCAGTGGAGGAAACAAGTATCCGGAATGGGAATAGACATAAGCGGTAGTAAATGTCTAACAACTTTATTTTTCGCAAATGATCATGTAGTCGTAGCGAATGATAAGGAAGACATGAACTACTATGAATATGTCAAAGACAGAGTGTCTTAAAATGGGAGATGATGAAAAAGATCCAGAGTTAGAAATTAGAAACACAAAAACATGCAAGGAATATAAATATCTCGGATATATAATATCTAAGAAGGCACTACCAAAAGAGACATCGAAAACTGAATGCAGCAGAAAAAAAAAGCGGTAAAAATTCTAAACTCTCTACGATGGTTTAAAGATATCAGACAAGAAACGATAGATAAAGAATAGAAGTAGTAGAAGTGGATTTTCTAAGGAGAGCGTGTGGTATATCCAAAAAAGATCATATCAGGAATGAAGATATTAGAAGGAGGACAAATACTGTATATTCAAGTGTAGACAAAATTGAAATGAGACAACTAAAGTAGTATAGTCACGTGAAGAGAATGAATTAAGATAGATGGACAAAGAAAGCTTTAAATTACATACCATAACAAAGAAGAAGAAGGGGAAAGTCTTCAGTTGCCTGGGAAGAAAATGTACGGCATATAATGAGATAGAGTCATCAAAGAAGAAGAATGGATGGACAGAAAACGATGTAAATTTGTTGAGTCCAAAATAAACATGCCTTTTGGTGGCTGATTCAGGGACGAACTTCCTTAAACAATTTTTTAACACGCTATTTTGAAAGTTTTCTATCTTTAACAGATAAAATGATTATTATTAAGTATAAATAAATAAAATCACGCCGAAATTTCTGCAGAAAATGCATAGGTTTGCTTACTATAGATAGATATTACCGGCAAAACTCAAGTTTGTCACTCAAATTTTTTTAGTTTTCAAAATTTTTCACAAGACAAACAAATCAACCTCGTATGTTAATATGAATAAACTTTGGACTAAAACCTTAAAATGGTATTTAACTAGATCAAATAACAATGCAAAATATGCAGAACATATAATTTTGATTAAAAAATGAGTTGCTAAAAGTAAATGATTTTTATCTATATTTACATAGTAAAATTACCAAATAAATGTATTAAGTAATTTCTCACTTTCCTTTAAGGTCAACTCAGTTAAACGAAAATAATTTATTTTATCATCTTCAATTGATATGATTTTAAGCAGTCGTCTCGTCTGCTGACACAAGTAGATAAGTTTGACAAAATGGGAGAAAATAACATCAAAGAAAATCTACTGGTCGGTCTAGGAAATCCTCTTTTAGACATTTCGGCTGTAGTGGATAAACAATTTTTGGATAAATACGAACTAAAAGAAAATGATGCAATTTTGGCAGACGACCGACATCTTAACTTATACGAGGATATTACAGAAAATTGCAAAGTAAGTTACATAGCTGGTGGCAGCGTACAAAATACTTTGAGAGTGGCGCAATGGTTGTTGGGCAGCCGTAACGTAGCAACTAAGTTTGGATGTGTTGGAAAAGACAAATACTCAAAAATTCTCCACGACAAAGCTACAGAGAGCGGTGTAAATGTTAGGTATCAGTATCATGAAAGCGAACCAACAGGTATGACATCAAAATTTACATAATATATATGTCGTAGGCAAGTATGAAATGCAGGCATTCTTGAAAAAGCTTAGTCATTTTCGTAATGACTTGGCAGTTTGTGTAACATTTTCATTTTTACGAAATGACTTCACCCTTTAGGCATTTGCGAAACTACCAGAAATTGAAATTTAGACGTAGATCATATAATATAAAAAAATTTTAATAAACTAATTTTCTAACATTAGTTTTCCAATTTCCATGATAACAGATTACAGCAGCTTTTACAAAAGTTTACATTTACAAGACTTGTGTATTATTATGTCACATTACAGATATTAGACGTGGCTAATCGGGAAAAATTCTATGAAGAATTACATAAATTTTACGGCTTTTTAAAGCTATTTAGGTCTGCAACAAATAAAAAAATTTCAATCGAGCATTACTACCCATTTTCCTGCAACGATTTGCAATATAATCCCTAGAAATCTAGAAGAATTTAGAAGTTTCGTCAACTTACTAGAGTAAAATTTATGTAATTCTTCATAGAATTTTCCCCGATTAGCCATGTCTAATATCTGTAATGTGACCTAATCATACACTTAGAAACTTGTAAATGTAAACTTTTGTAAACGCTGCTGTGATCTGTAATCTTGGAAATTGGAAAACTAGGGTTAGCCTAAATTGCAACATTGTTTCAAAATAGAATTACCGTCTCCGGTAATTTCGCAAATGACTAAAGGGTGAAGTCATTTCGTAAAAATGAAAACATTATACAAACTGCCAAGTCATTACGAAAATGACTAGGTTTTTGCAAGAATGCCTGCATTTCATACTTGCCTACGACATATACATGTGATCATCATTTACCCAGTCACTTGCTTTATTTTCTAATTTTTGAAAAGAATTATTAAAAATAATTTCAATATAATTATATTCCTCGTAAACATTATGTGCAGTTTTAAAAAAATGTGTTGAAACGATGAAAAATGCTTTTAAAGTTTTGAGATGTGAGAAAAAATTTTATACAAGCTTTTGAAGGTTCTAAAAGGTATTACGGTTGGTGAATCGCCAAACATACCATATAGACTAGGCGAAATCTGTAGAAATTCAGACCATAATGGACATTTTCCATAGGAAGCTATTTGTTTGGTGGAATCCCTTCAGGATGTGCCCAATATCGATAATCACGATATGCGCCAGTCGCAAACCCTGTGCTAAATTTTTTATTTAACAAAATCTGAAAACAATTGAAAATTTCTCAGTTTTTTGCTCCTTTTGTTAAGATCGGTCGGACAGGTTTTGCATAATAATTTTGCAATCCAGCAACATGGAAAAAAATTGCAAATTTTCAAATTTATAGTAGGCCCTAAATAAGGCCCTCAGATAGTTGCAAATTGTTTTACATATAAAGGAAGGCTCAAACTTTCAAACCCTTTTTGTGAAATTTAAATCGGTTTACTAGGAGAGCCTAGATTATTTTTTAAAGTTTTAAACATTTTGTAGGCTTATAAATAAATTGAATAACTTTACGAGCTTTAAACATATCAATTTCAAAATTTATACACTTAAAGAACATTAAAAGACGCTTCTTTAAAAAAAAAAGATACATATTGAAGGTCAAAGTTGGCATACATTTACCGTGTAATCATAAGTGATAGAGGGCACGTTTTTAAACAAATACCCTCGTCTTGTCAAGTACTTTTTATATGAAAAATTTTACGTAATGCGCATCATGGCAACATCCATAAAAAGACAAATAAAAAACCGTTTTCGCGTAAAATGTCGCTCGGAATGCATGAGAGGTGGTGGTGGGGAGACATTCACTCGAAATGTGAATCAGCGAGTTCAAAATTTTTTTTCTTTTTTTTTTAATCGATGTCTCGGACGTCAGGGATTTCAAATATCATATTTTCAAATACTAGTTTTAATTGTAGATTGGGAAATTTGCAATAAACAATTGTATGTTAAACAAAGTAATAGCATTTTTTTGAGCTTGCAATTTATACATTGAAGTAAATTGTTCTTTTAGTAAACAAATATGTATTGATAAATTGTAAATAAATAATTTAAATTATTAAAACAAAGGCGAACGAATTTTTTTTTTGTAAAAATCAAACTTTTTAAAATAATTAACATTAAAAATAATTTATTTCTGCAGTTTTATCATAATAATGACATTATTTGATTTGAGAATATATTTTGATTCGAAAATGACGTGTATATTGTACGTGTTATTATACTGCTGTGTAACTGATTAACTTCATTTTTTTTTGTATTTTTGTTTTCCAATTATTGCTATTTTTTCATTAAATTTTCAATTTCTAGCTAACGAAATATTGTGTAAAATTGAATAACGAAACTTTTAACAACTTATAATTTTTTCTCTAGGATCAATATTTTCCGAATTATAAACGAAAATAAGAGCAAAAAAATGAGAAATTTTCAATTGTTTTCAGATTTTGTTAAATAAAAAATTTAGCACAGGGTTTGCGACTGGCGCATATTGTGATTATCGATATTGGGCATATCCTAAAGGGATTCCAGCAAAAAATAGCTTCCTATGGAAAAATGTACAATCCAAAACTGATCCCGCCTAGACTAATAGGAAATTCAATGGGAAATTCTAAATTGTTGAATTCCTGCTTCCCTAATTATTTTACATCAAAAGTCATAATAAACTATTTGTAGAGGGCTGAATTATGTATTAAAAACACATGTAAAAATTGTTTTACGAATTAAATGTATCGCAAAATTTTGTAAAAATATAATACGTTTTTCAGCCGACCCCTTAAAGTCAGGCCACACGAGATACAAAAATGTGTATGACATGTTGCGTTTGGTTATATTGATAATTCTGATATTTGGCAATATTTGAATTGTCAATATTTTTATTTGGTTATTAAATTATACACAAATATTAAAATACGCAAATTTTCACAAATACTACTACTACTAGTGAACAATAAATAGTACTTTGTAAACAATAAATTATATTGTTTACAAAGCAATAAAATTGATGAAATGTATTCAGTTCATGCAAAAACGCAATAATGTACTCAGGCAATAGTGCGAGACTGCCAGATCTTTATTTAACACAAGATATAATACACTCCAATCCAATTCCAGGTTATACAACAATTCAAAGAATTTCAATATAGTTTTACTGTGATCTTTCCTAATAATAATATATGATAATTTCTAAACATAAAACTATAACAAATGTTCAAACAATAAGCCATTTTATACCAAGTAGTATCCCACTTTATTGTAAAATTCTGGTCTTAACATTAGCGAGAATGCGTGGCCTTATTTTTGCACTTTTCAATAATTGGCATTTTTAATGCTTCAATATATGTAAATTTATTATGCCGAATAAAACAGTTTAATTATTGCTACTTTTTCCTTAACTGAAAACATTTTTTAATCAACTATATTGTTTTCTAAACAATAAATCACAAAATAAAAATATTGGCATTGAAATACTGTCAAATTTCAGAAACATAAATATGACCAAACGCAACATGACATACACATTCTTGTACCTCGTGTGGCCCGACTTTAAGGGGTCGCCTGAAAAATGTATTATGTTTTTACAAAATTCTCGAATACATTTAATTCGTAGAACAATTTTAACATTTGTTTTTAATACATATTTCAGTCCTCTACAAATAGTTTCCTATGACTTTTGATGTAAAATAATTAGGGAAGCAGGAATTCAACAATTTAGAATTTCCCATTGAATTTCCTATGGCCCGTTTGACGATTCACCACCCTGTATTGGGACCGTGCAAATTCGGAACAGTGACACCTGGTGTCGTAAATCAGCAAAATTTACTGCGCTTTCATGTTAGATCGAGGTTACCGGATAACTGTCAAGGACGTAGCCCCAAAAAAGAATAAGAAGAAAAAGTAAGATTGAGGTTATGTCGGACAGTCGGTATGTTATTAAAAGTTAAACATTTTATGTAGTGTAAATACAAATAAATATATTATTAAATTACAGCATTACTGTTAATATGGATGCAATAATAAAAACTGGATTTGAGAAAGTAAATCACCAAATAACTTTTCAACCAAGCACTGAGTCAAAGAGAAAAGCTTTAGTAGTGGCAAATGTCAAAAAAGAATGGAAGAATTATGTGGAAGAATTAAGAAAAATAAATTACCATAAATAATGCTAATGCATAAATTAGCAGGTTAAGCCCATGATATCATCATATTGGTTTGAACAATTAATTCGTTCCCTGTAAACTTTTGGACAGCGAATATATCTTAATGCATTTTCAGAAAAACTTGAACTTGATGCATTTTTGCAAACTTCAAAAAAATAAAATTTAAACATAAAATTTAAACAAGCTTGATTTTTGGGTTAAAATGAACTGTGTTATGAAACTAAAATTTACATTTAAAAGTGAACTTTTATGTATTATTTATTTCAAACTGACTTTAAAATCGGGCTCAAGAATAATGAATAATTTAGGTTATGTTACTTATGCTTTTTTATGATATAAATACACTTTTCTCTTTGTAGTAATTTGTGCTTCGAAGTTTGAAACGAATAAAACTTAAATTGACAATTTTTTGTTGTATTTTTACAATTTATAACACAGCATTTCCTAAATCCCATTTTCTTCAGCGACAGAAGGTGTAAATAAACAAACCAATATGAAATATGACAATTGACAATATGAATTTATGAAATCTATGAAATTTGCAGTAAAAAATGCAAGATTTCTCCGCTACTCGCGCACGATCGTTTCTCGTATCACATCCAAGTACTTGCACGTCGCCAATAAGGGATAACTAATGACAATTCGTTGAAGGCGTAGAGCTGATTTTGCTTTGTTCTTTTTTTAAGAATCATAAAAGGTAAAAAAAATCATTTTTTGCTTATAAAACGTTTCTTTAGAGTAAATATATTTTAGAGAAAAATGATTCAAATAAAAGTTGTAGATCTCAAAAAGTTCTTCATCTTGCGAGTTTCTAAATTAAAATACATAAACGTGCTGACCCAAATATCTTTGGGTCAGCACGTTAAAAGAAAATAGTGCCCCTCTTGTGCCTACTCCATTCCGAAATCCAAACTGGGAATCACTAATATCCATCTCCAGCTTAGCGTATATTCTATTATGGATGATTTTTAGCAGGGTTTTTAAGATTTTAGACTGATCGTTCGATAATCACTACATTCTTTGGTAGACAAATAAATGTTGATGTCAGTATTTCACGTGGAATGATTCTTATGGAATAGATTGTGTTCAGTAGTTGGACTAAAAGATTTATGTTTTTTTCATTGACCACTTTTAGCACTTGTATTTCATCTGGACCAGCAGCTTTATTATTTTTCATGGACTTTACTGCATGCAGAACTTCTGACTGTGTTATTTCGGGCCCCTCGTCTTTACTCTAATTATCTTCATATACAGTTTCCTGTCTCTGGTCATGGAATAATTCCTCTATATATTCCCTCCATCTTCCTAATTTTTGTTCCGTCTCCACTAAAATGTTTTCTTGTTTGTCCAATAGTATGCTTGAGGTTTTTTGTTTTGCTACTCCAGCTAATTCTTTAACTATCTTATGGAGATTGAAGTTATCATATTTGTTTTATAAGTCTACTATTTCTTGGCATTTTCCAGCGAAAGTCTCTTTAGCTTCTCTTATTTTCCTTCTTATTTAATTATGCAGCTGTTGATACTGATTTATGTTGATATTCCTTTGCCTTCTTCTGTCCTCCATCAATTCCAAGATTTCTTCTGTCATCCAATCTCCTTTCTTGCATCTGGTTGTTGTGAGTTCTCTGCGACTTGGTTCGATAATTGCATTTTTAAAGAATTGTCACTGTTGTTCTACAGTGATCAATAGATTCCGGTGTGGATTATAGGTTTGCATTAAGTTTTTGTTTTAGTTTGGCTTTGACGTCTTCTGATTTTAATTTTTGTGTGTTGTTTATCACTTTTGTAGCTTCCATAGTCGATTCCATGAAAATAATAATTAAACTCTTTCAATTATTTTTAGGAACCTGTGCTGTTCTTATAACTGGCCAAAACCGTTCTCTTTGTGCAAACCTGGGCAGTGCCGGACATTTCTCAGTGGATCATTTACGCCAACCAGAAAATAGAAAACTATTAGAAAGTGCACAGTTCTTCTACGTATCTGGATATTTTCTATCAGCAAATCGCGAAGCCCACAATGAAGCTGCTAAAATAGCATTGAAGAATGACCGACCTTTTATGCTGAACTTAAGCGCACCTATTGTTTGTCAAATCTTTGCTAAGGATATCATAGAAACCCTGCCATACGTGGATGTTCTTTTTGGAAATGAATCTGAAGCTGAATCTATATCAGAAAGTTTAAATCTAGGCACCAAGAATGTGGAAGAAATCGCTTTGAAATTGTCCCAGCTGCCCAAACAAAACGAAAGACGAAAAAGATTGGTTGTGATCACTCAAGGTGTAGATCCAGTTGTATGTGCATTTGAAGGCCGGATTAGATCATTCCCAGTAGTGAAATTGCCACAAGAAAAAATTATAGACACCAACGGAGCTGGTGATGCTTTTGTCGGAGGATTTTTAGCTCAGTTCATTTTAAATAAAAATTTAGATGTTTGTGTTAAATGTGGTATTTGGGCCGCCACAGAAATAATACAACGGAATGGTTGCAGTTTCGAAGGAAAATCAAATTTTAATGAAGCTATTTAAAATCTAGATAAATAAATTATCATTTACTATAGATCATTTTTGACATTTCAATACCACACCAACATTGATTACTGACATTATAGTTTTAACCTATACATTTGTATTTAAATAATTTTGCAAAAACCGTACCTAGACATCTTTATCATTAAAATGTATAATATATATTTAAATAAATTTACAAAAACGTCAATAACGATATTTAGAAATGAGCAATAAATATACAGAAAAACAACGAAGGTACAGAAATGATTATCAACATAAACTACAAATGTATCAAAATAATATCCTGTTCCAAAACTTAGTAAAGGACACACGAAAAACTGTAAATATAACACCAGTTATAAGAGAGTTTTTAGGCCCTTTACTTTTCGATGGATGTTAAACATACAACGTCATACTTGTCATGCGCCTTGAATAATAAATAAGGGATAACGTTTTTACTTAAGGCCGATCCTCGAGACTCTGGGCATAGCTAAATTCCAATGTAAAAGTTTATATCAAATAACGCAAAAACTATGGCAGATATTGAGATGATTCTTTTTTTATATTTAAGGTCTTAAAAAGTTCTAGTGCACTATTTGGTTGTAAATTAATAAATTGTTTAAACAATATTTTTTTTCAAATATTTTTGGTTAAAATAAACGTAAATTTTTTTTTTTTTTTTGAAATAGGGCACTAGAGAATTTGACCCACTTTCCGAATCTGTTTTTATTTTTAACATAAAGTGTAACACAAAGCAGCTATTTGGTATAAACTTTTAAAAAATTTCAAAGATCTACTAAATGTAATTCTCTATCTGTCAGCACGAGCTGTCCTTGTCGGTAGCTTCTGGATTCTCGCCAGCAGGTAAGACCCTCGGAAGAGGATAAATAATGTTGAATAACATTATTAGGGCAGGGCTTATTCCGACTTTTAACAAACCAGTGTGTTTATTGTATTTAAAATAGGAAATTTTATATAAATAAGCAGTAAGTATGTACCTATAATTTGATTAAACTTTTATATGAATAGAAATTTTATCTGTTAATTTGTGACATTTTCCTTCTAAATATGTATACTGTTTTTATAATAGTACTATTGTTTCAGTGTTAGCTTATATAATAATAATTTATTACATAGAAACAGCGTAGAATGTTGGTCAATAAGCAAGTACATTTTTTTTCTATTTCAATCAGAATTATTATTTTCTTTTCTTCTTAACATGAGCTCAGAGTAATAAGCAAATATTTTGCAGTATTTAAATATGAAATTTAATTATATATATTTATTGGTTAGCAACCTATCAATCGTAAAAACAAATACTGCTCAAAGGAACCATGTACAGCCTCGGAACCGGATTGATACTATGAAGACGACTACGGCAAGAAGTAAGGACAAGCGAAAAACATCCAAAACCCAGATGAGAATTACTACTTGGAATATCAGATCTCTCAACTCAAGGGACCAAGAAATAACCCAAGTGCTGAAAGAAAACGAAATAGACATTTGTGCTCTACATGAAACAAAAAATAAAGGAAAAGGTCAATCAAAATTAGTAGTCAAAATACTAATCTACAGTGGAGTAGCAAAAGAAAACAGGGCCAAAGAAGGTGTAGCCTTACTAATACACCAAAGGTATTAAAATTACATTAAAGAGTGTCAATACATATCAGAAAGAATAGTAACAGCAAAGATAAGAATGGAGAAGGAAAACCTGAACATTATCGGAGTACCTATACATTGTAAACATTGTACCTTTACAGGATCCTCTACGAATTTTCAAAAATGTAGTTCAAATGGTAACTAGGAAGAACCTACAAATCCATTCTGTGATCCATATCGAACAAGCAATTTCAAACTAATAAAATGTTCTATATCTCCAGATCTACTCAATGGATTTTGATCATTCTTTTTTAATTTGTATGTAATTTCTACGTACATTACAAATATGTAATTTGTTTATATATGAATTAATTAATAAATAGTCTAGTTTGTTTAAACAATTCGTGCAAAAATAATTTTCTTCCAAAAATCCATTTTTTTTTAATACTAGTATCAATAATCATAGAAAAAATCGCGTTTTTTTGCATTAAATTGTTAATAATTAAAAAACAACTCCAAATTCAAGGCAGGAAACAAGTAGGTTTTCTTCCTATAGGTCTACAATAACTAAAAAAGTTGTCAGAGACCTGGATTATTTAGTTCTCTAGATCCTGGAGTATATTTACATATAACAAATTAAAAATCCTTAGTTATAAATTTTTGAAATAAGTATTCAGTATACATCTAAGTTTCATAAATGCTCCTCATAAATCTCATAAATCTAAACTTTTGTAATCCGTTCTTTGTTGACAATTAGTTGCATAGGGCCGACGTTTGCTAACCACAAGTAAATTTTCTTATTTCTTTCATTTGACAATAATAATTGTCTGTTGGATTAGTATTGTAATAAGTAAATTAGTCTCTTACTGAATGATAATAAACAACACATCAAACTTATTGTGAAACTATTTCTTGAGTCATGTCATATTTTATTAGATTTTGGTGTAATAAACCACAAATTATCAAATGCAATATTAAAAATCAAAATTGGAAATGATAGCGTGACTAAATTATTCCTTCCTTCAAGAAATTTTAAAAAGAACTGATTCCTATTACTATTCAGTGCAAGGACAGTTATTTTGATATTTATATCGAATACAGAATACTATTAGTTTGCGGTATGGACCCCAAAAAATATTTTATTTGAAAAGATTGATAAAGATATGGAACTGTGGGAAAATATGCTATAAAAATTGCAAGAACTTTATTATAATTTTTATTTGGAACACCTTCTGAAGAAACATTAGACATAATTCTATATTTATATAGTTTCATTTTATCAATTTTAATGATCGTAATACTAATCAAATTTTTATGATATATAATTATAATCTTTGTTTAAAGTTTTTATTTTCCGTAAAATTTAATCTACGTTAAAATTCAGACCGTCAGTTTTTCCGTAAAGAAGTAACAAATAAATTATGTATGTACCTTTGTTACATTGTAAATTTATGAATAGATTATATTACTTCAATTTATGGTTTTACTGTAAGCCCAAAACCTGTCACTTCAGGGGTTGTCCCGATTATATAATCGGCTAGAGTAAAAGATTAACGCATTTTTGACCTGGGCTTGAGAGAGATATCTGAACGAAGTTTAGAATATTACTGCATGAACAGATTTTGTTTTCGTAAAGAAAGAAATTTTTGAAATAGAGATAGCCCACTGAAATTTACCGTTAGGATTTTCGAGGATGAGCCTTAAAATAGTTTTTGAATCCTTTCAGAAATTAACCTATGACAGATTAGTTAATTGACATTTGACGAACGTAACCTATAAAACGGCAGTTATACCACGTTATACTCTATAACCTATTTTATTTGAATTATTTGCTGTAATGGAAGAAAATATTGAAAATATATTAAGACGACGAAGACACGTAGAAGTAATAGATCACAATTTGATAAGAGGCTTAATTCTTCACAATATTTTTGATCCTGTAATATCTGTTGCACCAAGACTACATTTTGTGTTGGAAACAATTGAAGAGAAAGATGCTGAACTAAATTTTCTATATTTTTTATTCTAGTTATCTTTGATTCTGCTCATATGACTTTTTTTTTGTTTTTTATGATTAAGATATCTGGCATTTGACAACATTACAAACACGCAATCCCTTAATAACTTTAACCTTATCTTTACTTAAATAAGGGAATACCTTATCCGCTAATAAAGTAAAATAAGTAAACTTGTATATTATAAAATTAATAAACTGGAAAATAAAAAAACTTGAGAAGGAACATAGAATCGGTCAGTCTCGGCAGTTTTAGAAAGAGCTAAAAAACTAGAAGAGCATCAAGGTCAACAAACCAAGATTTATTAGAGATGAGGCAGGACAATTGCTTACAGATGATGGAGAAATAAGTCGTCAATGGAGAGAATACTTCAAGCAACTGTTAAAAGCCAAGAAGCCAACAATGACATGGATGCATACATTTTCCTTATAAGGGGAAAAGAAATAGTTTTTAAACAAGTCCTCTGTTATAAAAAATAATATGTTTATTTTCGTTTTTCTACACACTCTCTTTATTATTAACAGTTTATTTGAAACTCACATACTAATTATTAAACAGAACATATTTATATAACAATGACCTACATAATAGATTATAAAATCCGGAAAATGCGCGTGGTAAACAAGGTCAATAATTTATTATTGCAACTTATGTACACCATCGGTCCTACCTTAACTATTTATTAGCAGGTAGTAAAAAATTATTTTTGAGCCTTATAGGGACGAGACAACAAGAGAATGGAGAACAGGACATAATCAGGAACTCCAGACATTATATAGAGATGAAAACATAGTATGCTACATCAAGATAAATTGAGTATGGTCGATACAACATATTAGAAAAAGTCTGATGGTAATTCAGGTGGGTCGCCACAAAAAGAAGGAAATATGCAGTATCGAGTGATCTACACAACGTGGAATGCAACAATGAAAGATTGTCACACAAGACGACAACCGTGGGGGAAAATAGTAAATGCTGCCAATACTTGCCTGGAGCTGTTGAAAAGAGTGTTGACAATGATGATGATATAGACAAAATACAATGGTTAAACCCAAAAATTTTTACAACAGAATGGTATGGTAATAAAAAATTACAGAATGGAATCCATACATATGAAAACCAAAGCAAACTCTAAAAAAATGTAATAAAGGTAATTGATTACCTCCTGTCCTTCTTAATAGAAGAAATTTTTATCAAAGTCTATAAGAAGCTAGATAAACTAATCTCCCACAACAATAAAATTAGTGATACAGCTTCATTTTTTTATGAATTATAAGTCCAAAGTCTTTGTATACAACATCTTTGATATAAATTCGTTTACCCAATATTAAGAAATAAAATCAATTAAATATAAATATTTAGGAACATGGATAACATCAGATGTAGACCAAACCAAAGAAATTAAGACACATATTGAAATAGCACATACATCATTTATTAAACTTAAAAAGTTTCTTTGTTGTCGGGATATAAGGTTAGAACTACGCCTGAGAATGCTTCGATGTTACGTGTTCTCTACTCTTCTTTATGGTCTGGAAGCTTGGACACTAAAACAAGTTCATCTGAATAAGCTGGCCGCCTTTGAATTTTGGTGTTACAGAAGAATCCTACGAATATCATGGATTCAAAGAATGTCAAACATGGAAGTAACTAGAAGGATAGGAAATGAGGCGGAAATAATATTAACTATTAAAAGACGAAAACTTGAGTACTTGGGACATGTGATGAGAGGGCAAAAATATGCATTATTACAACTTATTATGCAGGGCAAAATCCGAGGAAAGCGAAATGTGGGAAGACGAAGAATATCCTGGTTTAAGAACTTAAGGAAATGGTTTGAATGCAGTAGTGCAGAACTTTTTAGAGCGGCAGTCAACAGAGTCCGCATAGCCATGATGATTTCCAACCTTTGATAGAAGATGGAACTTAAAGAAGAAGAAGTCAAAAGACCAGAATTATTATAGTATGTAAAAGCAAAGAAATACTACTCTTTTGATGGAGTGGAAATCTAGACCAAGACAGAGGTAACATCTAAATAACTAGAAGTCTTCAAAATATGGTACTATCGGTGCATGATTGGAATATGTCACAAATATATGAGAAAAATCTAAAAGTTATACATTCTAAGGAAATCAGAAATATGTCATATTTAGATCATGTGATGCACAATGAGAAGTACCAACTAATTGAGGTAATGTAATCAAGCTAGAAGGAAAAATAATGCAAGCGTGCTAAAGAACATTACAGTTGACGAATACCACACAGTGACCAGGTATGCTGACCATGCATTTCTTCAGATCAGTTATCAACAAAATAATGTTAACCAATGTGATTGCCAATATTCGCAGAGGATGTGAATCAACATAAGATTAATTTTTTACAAGGTACTAGGTACTATTACGAAATTTAAAATCGGAATATTTTATTGAAAAAAAAAGCATGAAACAGGTCAGAATGGAGAAGAATCCTTGAACAGGCCAAGACCCAAAAAGGGTTGTTGAGCCAGTGGTGATGATGTGATATTTTATTGCCAATCTCAATTTTTTTTTTGTTAAAAACTGACTTTTGTAATTAATTATCTTTTTATAGTTGGTACACTCTAATTTTATACTGTAACAGTGTCAATTGCACATACATATAATACATATTATAAAAATTGTTATTCTGGGAGTGTTAGTTTATGATATATTAAGAAAAAATATTAAAGCTACAGTACCTCCATCATTCAGATCATCTGTTGCTCTTTGATGGATATCCCTTTGAGATTCCATTTTGTAATCATCACCTAAACCGTCAACTTTATGGATGAATACTTCAAATTTTATACTGGGATTAATTTTATATGCCTTTGTTACAGTTAGGTTTAGTTTAGTTAAAGCGTCATTGTAATCATCCTAAAAAATTAAATATTTCTTTAATAGCTATATTGTAATTACCTATATAATGGGCATATTAGCTTTAGTGGTAATATTCTCTTTAAAATACATTTCAACAACTCAATAGTAAAGATAAAATTGCTACTGGTAAAGTTAAAAACCTAAAAAATTTATAAAACCTAACGGAGATAATCTAAGATTAATTTGAGAAAAGTGAATTACCAAACATAAGATACTTTGTTTGCACCTTGTATTATACATTTCATGTGATTTCTGGAAGTCCCGTACAGACCTGGATACAATCGGTGGAAACATTGTCGGCCGACTGTACATTTTCCCTTTTAAGTTGGTTGATTACATGGACCGATGATATAAACACAAATGTGTCCTGTCCACATCTAGTTGGAACTTTGTTGTTGAAAAAAAAGGCATCAAATGATGATTTAATAGCTGCCGGTGTTCGTGCGGCATATTTAATAATTGTGAAAAATAAAAAAAGACCATGGTGGCAAAAAAGCCTTTTACGAGATGGAGTGAATTATGGAAACAGTTTAATAAATGACCTTAAGTTAAAAGATGGATGTCAAGTGCAGATTTTGAAAATCTACTGTTAATGGTTGGACCTAAAATTTCAAAATCTAATACAAACTTTTGTGCTGCCATTCCACCATCAATAAGATTAGCCCTAACATTACGATTTCTTGCAACAGGAGATTCATATTGCAGTTTGATGTATTTATTTAAAATATCAAAGCAACTAATATCATCTATAATACCAGAAGTATGTGAAGCTCTTATAGAAACACTAGCAGCATTTGTAAAGGTAAGTAAACCTATACCAATTATGGAAAGTAGCTGATAAGTAGCTAAGTGACTGGAAACTAATACTATGTGGGTCCTGGTAGAAGTAAAAATTGACCTAAGTCTGTCATTATATCAGATTTTTACATTAGTTTTTCTGAATCATCCACAATTGTGGATTGCGTGACATTAATTTGGGATATCTCCGAGGGGCTAGGTATAGAGTTTGGAGACAGTGAGAATGAATATAGAGATATTTGAGGATTCGATACAGTCGATGCAGGAGAGCTGCTTCTTGGAGAATGTAAATAAGTTCTAGGATCTCAATACAGTTGAGGCAGGAGTGTTGCTTTTACTTACTTACTTACTCCGTGGCGTTACAACCCTTCGTGGGTTTTAGCCGACTCGACAACATGCCTCCACTGTTTTCTGTCTTGAGCAACCTCCATCCAATTCTCCACGCCCATAGTGCTTAGGTCTCCTGCTATATTATCTCGCCACCGGAGACGAGGGCGTCCGCGTGGTCTCCTTCCAGTTGGGACTTCCTGCCACACCAGTCTTACTGTTCGTTCGTCAGAATGTCTTCTGAGGTGTCCTGCCATTGGAGTCTTCTGGACTTTATTTCTTTTATGATGTTGGCGTCTGGGTAAAGTTCTTCAAGCTCTTTATTAGTTCTTATCCTATATTGTCCTGATGTTTCATCAAGCACCGGACCAAAGATCTTCCTTAGGATTTTTCTTTCCCAAACACGTAGTCTCTCTTCATTTGCCTTTGTCATCGTCCACGTTTCGCTTCCATACATCACAACGGGTCGTATGATTGTTTTATAGACCTGTATCTTCGTACGTCGTGTTAGTTGTTTTGATTTTATAAGGTTTTGGAGGGCAAAAATACATCTGTTGCCGGCCTGAATCCTGTTGTTTATTTCTTGTGATCCGTTATTGTCTTCAGTTATTGTTGTTCCAAGATACTTGAATTCCCTAACGCGCTCAAAGTTAAAGTCATCGATGGTAATGTTCTGACCGATTCTGTCTCTGCTTTGGTTATTGCGGCTCATATACATATATTGTTGCGGCTCATATACATATATATAAGTGTTGCTTTTGGCATAATTAAATCTTTCAACATTTTCTGGCATATTTTAAGATATATTTTCATTATATATGCCCATCTCAAGGTTAAATAGTATATTTTCAATATGGTGTTTAGCTATATTTTGGGCTCTAATTCGCTGTTTAATTACAATTTTTTCAAGCCAAGAGCACAAAACACAATGATTAGAAACTTAAAACTAATTTGTGTTTTGTACTCTAAGGGGTTGAAAAAATTGTAAGTAAACAACAAAATTTTGCAAAGAAAAATAAAGTGTCTAAATTCAGCCCCATCCCCTACAACCCACGATTCTACATAAGTTACTATGGAAGGGGACAATTCGCACCATGAATATTAATGATGTTTAATACAGTCTTTGTATTTTTTTAAGATGCCCTAAACAGAAGCCAAATGGAACAAAATTGAAAAAGAATATAATGAAAGATGGAATTTTCCACACTGCCTTGGAGATATGAATGGCAAACATATTGTTATAGATGCTCCAGCAAAAAGTGGAAGCATTTACTACAATTATAAGGGAACATAAACAAATTACCCACATTGCTAATAATAATTGTTCTGTCTGTTCAAAACTTATGGAAAGTCCATGGTCTTTTGAAAAAGTGCATGGTTGTCCTGTACAAACAAACAATTTATGAGAAGCTACGGAAACACATATTTTCTATAGCAAGATATAAAAATATCTTGAGAAGCTAGTGAACTAAATGAGCTTTCAATATTGTATGTCTTGTTTGCAGTGGATAAACCTATTTCATTGTTACTTTACATGGAGATTTTCTATATGTTTAAACTGTAAATTAAAACCGCTTAATTCTTAACCTACAATTTACAAAACATTCACAGAATAAAAATATATACTTTTGTAATATAAATATTACCTAACCTATAGATATTAATTTATTATCTTTTAAGACATACATTTATAATATTTAAATTAGTAGTAAGTTTTATAACACATGCTAAACAAACTGAAAATCTGAGGCAGTCAGGAATTGAGATAATAGAAAGTAAAGATAGTGCAAACACTCCTGACCATGGAACTGTGTAAAGGCAGAAAGGTTCTATTTCAAGTGGAATTATACAGTGCATTTCACATGGAAGTGGTGACTAAACCAAATGTTGTCTACTGTGCTGTGCTCAGGAGTGTTTGCACTATCTCTAAGTGGTTTTATAACAGCTTGTTAATATAAATAGACAATGACTATTTAAATGGGAATAAGCCACAATTCAAGGTTAAAGTAAGTTTATTGACGTTTGTATTTTCAATGTTTGTATTGAAATTGGAAATTGAAACGTCAATAAATGTACTTTAACCTTTACTTGTAGCTTATTCTCATTTAAATAGTAATTAATTTAAAATGCCACAAGAAAATAAGAACAATAATAAAATAGACAGTGCTCATGGAATAATTATTATTATGGAAAGCCCCTAACTTTAGCCACAGTGTAACTGTCATTTCAAGGTCCTCAGCATCTAAGACAATTGTTCTATGCACATTTCTTTTATAATTAGTATAATTATTAGCTTCATTAATATAATTTGAAATTTATAATTAATAACTAAATAAAGTATGTATACCTGAGCATCTATTACAAAAATCAGTGCCCCACATCCTCCAAAAATCATATCATAATCAAAACTAGAATCAAAAAAGTCTATCTGACCAGGAAAATCCCATATTTGAAACTGTACAAAACTGGAATTATTAATATCATCCTTTACAATTTTATTAGTGCTTTCTAAGAAGAGTGTTTCATTTGGTGACATCTTATGAAATACCACTTTTTGAATGGAAGACTTTCCAGATCTTCTTAAACCCATTAAAAGAATTCTGGGCTTTTGATCTCCTGCTGAAGGCATAAGGTCATGTTCACCCTCAAAAGGTCCATAACCAAAGTCCTTTGGAAATGACCCAGTTGTACTATCAAACGGCACTCCTTCCTCATCATCCTGATAAGACTAAAAAATATATATTAAAATTAGGTACACCATTTGATTTGGAGCAAAAGCAATTTATAAACGTACCATTGCCACTAAATGTTAAAAACACTTTGACTTCAAAATCAGTGAATGTCTTGTTCAAATTTCTATAAACTTTGATAATAAACATACAAGGTAAAATTCTTTTCAAAATAATCTTGACAATGACAAGAGTGAGGTTTGGTTTGACAGTGACAGTTAGTTGGTTTACTGTCAATTTGCAGTTAATTAATTTAAAAATTGTTATCTTTTTTTAATTTTAAAATGCAGTATAATTATAAACGCTTATTGTATAACAGTTAAATACAATGTATAATTAAATAAACACTGACTCATATAAATAAAACATTTTAATAAAAAAAAATTTTAAATTTACAACCAAACATCAGTGTAGCCAACGCTCACAAATACCAATCTGTCAATCAGCTTTAAGCTGCAATCAACGGGAAATAAACTAATGTACGATTGGACATTAGCGAGTAAACAGTATAGTCTTGTCTTTGTTTAATGATCATTGTTTTAAATACTATTGGTTAAATTAAAAATATAACTTTGATTGTCAATAATGTTAAACTTGTCTTAAGTTTAAAACCCATAGAGTTAGTGGGGATGTTCTGTTGAACGCTCGTTATCAAAGCTGAGCAGTTTCTGTTAATAAATGTTCAAATTTTGAATGTAATGCAGTGAAAATTGTTTACTTGTGTAGTGCAACTTTTATTTTCGGTTTATTGAAATAATCTGAATTGTATATAATAGAAGAGGATGAAGCAGTACACCATTAGCTCTATATGTAGATTGTGATTCATGTTCAGGATCTGCCAATAAATATTTAGATTTTAGATTGATGCATAGTGCATATGCAATTGATGAGCATGACATTTGAACTGTGTACATTAACATGAGATTTACATAAATACTATACCTCTTATACACCTTTTATATTTACATTTTGATCAGTCCAACTGTAGAACTTTTGTTAACAGTAAAATGTTCACTAATATCGACGAGCGAATATTCAGACAATCAAAACTAGCTGTTGCTAGAAATCTTTTTGATGTAGAAGTGCCTCATAGACTAGGAAGTTATGATCGATTTATTCCCTATAGAGCCAATAATAATTGGGAGACTTCCTTTGCCACTATACCTGATCCTAATAAGAACACTCAGACAGGGAAGAAGACAAGAGAAACTGGTGAAAATGCGAGGGACAGTTCAGTGTACAACATTTTGTTGAGGAATGAATTATTAGGTGAAAATATAGAAGATGTTAAGTCTCAGTGTGATGAAAGACAAGCCCTGACACCAGTTAAAAGTAGAAATCTTTTTAAATATGGTACTCCAAATAAGGTAAGTCTCTGCTTTTAATACAAATTATAATATATTTTATAATATGCTGTTGGTATCTTTTTATATTGTGAAGTAGCCTTCTATTAATTACTTTTATTTGTATTACAAAATTATTCCAATTTTCTCTCGTGATTCCTGTGAAAACTAACAAATATTTTTGAAAAATTTAAACGTAGAGTGAAATATTACATTATTACCAAGGACTGAAAGTTCCTTAGAATAAACAAAAAGTTTTTTTTAATGAGGTATTTGAAATTAAAAATCACACTTAATTTTCTCTTCTTTTTCACCCCTGTAACTTACTAACATAAACAATATAAAAATTTTCATGGACTTTCAACCCTTAGTTATAATTTAATCTTTTATTCTGCATTTAAATTTTTCAAAACAATATATTAGTTTTCTCAGGATTAAAAAAAAATGATTGTATTTAAAAAGCATTGGCCCGAAATTTTTGCCTATGCTCTTAAGACAATTTTTTCTTAAAGTTACTCTTGATTTTTAGTTTCTCCTTCCAATATATAACTATCCTGCTGATCAATTGTACTTCTTATTGTCATCTTTATGATTGTCGAGTTTTTCATTGTTAATGTAGCTAAATTTTGTAAAAGTACTGTATCCTTTATTTGTTCCTGGATTTAGAGATTTGTTTTACTTTATTTTCATCATTACATAGACCCTATATTCCAAATTCCTATATTGTATTTTATTCATTCATCCTACTCTTAAAATATTACTCTGTAAATTGTTTATCCACTTCATTTTATTTTGTATCAAAACACTTCATTATTTACTTTATTTTTTGTCTTATTTTAACATGGTCATAAATTTATAATAATTGATAAATTAATTAATAAAAATTTCAAAATCTATTTGGAATTGAAAAGTTGAAAGGTCTGAAAATATTATTCCAAAGTAATAATTGTTTTAAGTTAGGGAGTTTTAATTTATTTGGATTTTTTATTTATATTTGTCCTGGTGCATGTCTTAATTTACATCCACCCAATCAGGCAGATTGTAAATTTCTTTTCTTACACAAATAAAAAAGTATACTTAGGTGATTTTAAACAAAATTCAAAAATTTTGGAACTGTTTTTTAAATCTTTACATTCAGATTGAATATAGAATTGATTTGCAAATTTGTAAATGTTGTTGATAAAAAATGTAAAAATATTTTTCCCCACATTTAAGTACATAAAAAGTCTTCAAATTTAGAAATCTTGTAAGTAGTAACCAAACATATTATTTTTAGTATATAAATAGACACAGAAACATTTCTATTCTTTTAAAATAAACAAAGAGGTTTAAAGATAAGATTTTATTTATCTTCGGTAATATGTTTTTTATTTGATGAGATTTTTTTTTTAATTTAATTAAACACATTACTTTTATGAAAGTAATATTAACATGAATTTACAATGTTGATAGTACAGACATTATATGCTGCAGTACAGGGGCGGATCCAGAAAATTGTCTTGGGGGGGGCACAAGGTTCAAACTTAGAATAAGGAATATTATGTATTACAGTGAGATTTGTGAATTGCGATGACTTAATACATAATGCTGTTTTTTTTTTAATAAATGAACTTATTTATACGAAAATATGCAGTTGTATTCAAAATTATTTGTTTGCCTTTTATTAGGAACTTTAGAATTATCAATATAGAATATTACCATTTTAATTCAAAAATACTGGTCAGAACACTTCGACCTGTTAGCCGTTACCATGAATTTAAGATCTACAAAATGTTGTTTATATGATAAAAATACACAACACATAAGTATAAGTATACTGTATTTCAATATAGGTAAAAACATAAAGAAAATTACTTTTTATTCGACCATCTTCTCATAAAACCTTGAGAGACAGCTTTCGCTTGTGCTTCCTCGCGTACACGTCCAAGACTTCTTCGGCTTTCAATTCACTGGATCTAGATTTCAATTTTTGAACGTGTCTAAAAATTTAAAAAAACAATCTTCTTTTTGTTTTTAAATTTCCTAATTACCGAGAATTCCTCAGAAATCCAAATTACCGACTACCCATTTCCGGGAAATCAAAAGAAGCCGGGAAAATGGAGCTCTAACTGTAAGAGATAGTCGGTTAAATGAGAAAAAAATTGCGTAGGACTTCGTAAGTCTTAGGTTTTCACCCAAAGTGATCGAAAGTAGAACCGCAAGTCTATATTTGAACTCTTCGTGTAACTTTGCGTCGATTGATATATGATTTCACTAATTTTGAGTAATTTTTACTAAACTTTCGCTCATAATTGTTTAAATGCAAATAACTTAAAAACCGGAACTAAAGATTCAAGCTCGACTTCTCAATACGCCTCGAATGATATGTCACATGTATTATTTCTGCGACTATAATATAGCACTTCCGATTAGAACTTTTTAACCAAAAGTATACATTTGTTCTCATCTTGCTCCGGCACGTCGAATAATATATCGCTTATACTATTTCGGTGGCTTTTAAATGGTACTTCTTTTTATAACACTAAAACCGGAAGTCCGATGTCAAATTTCTAATCTTTATTACCATCCTTGGGTTATAATCAATTCTATGAGCAGATATTTTGACTGTAGAACAGAATATATTATTTTATTTTATGTAATAATATTATATTGTAATATAACCAATTAATTCATTTATGTTCCCGAAATAAATTATTTAAATCAGTACAATATGTTTCATAAAAGAATTTTTGAACCTATTTTATCTAGTGTATTTTTATTTCGTCTGGGGGGGGCACGTGCCCCCGTGCCCCCCTCTGGATCCGCCACTGCTGCAGTAAGGGAGTTTTTTGGAGTAAAAAAAGTCTAGAGTTAATTATTAGGTAAACATGTTGAGAATAAGTTCATTTTTGGGCCCATAGTTACTTATTTTCATTTGTACAACTAAAATTGCATAGTTTTGAAATAATTATTTACCATAGACATGATTATTATTACTTTCCAGTATATTATGAGAGATTATAAGTCATAGTTATGTTGGTTTTTTGGGTACTACTATTTAGACATGATTCCAAGATCTTTGACATGGCTGTTAAAAGAGATATTGGCAGATAACGCCAGGTTGCTTCAAGTCCCCTCCTTTATACAATGTCACCACTGTCACCATTTTCATAGAGTTTGTGATTAATCTGGATTAATCAATGGGAGATTTTCCTATTTTTTTTTTGTAGTTTTCTTATGACCTCTCTAATATAAGTTTCTGAGACTTATTGTCATTCGAATATGTATTTTCCTAGCTCTATATTTACTCAAGGTTATGATGGAGGTGGTATTTTTGCAAAGTACTAATTGATTAGATATGTCCTCAGCTCTATTGAATGTAGAATTGTGACGTTGAAACTCATGAATTGTTATTGTCTTTTTTATTATTAGACTACTTAGATGATTATAAAAATTTCCTTTAATTTGTTTCTCACTGACAATATTTTATATTTGGATGGTATTTGGGATAAAAATTATATGGAAGAAGTTACAGTAAGGACTTATGAGTGTAGTTAACTCCTATAGATATTATATTATGTTGAACAGATACACAGGACCTACAGTTTACTATACAATCCTATATTGATCTCACATTTGTAGTTGTAATTTAATCAATACTTTTTGATTTTTGTAATGGGAATCCAGTATTGCCATTTAACTTAGATTCTTAATAAAAAATTATCAATCTAAAAATGATTAAGTTTTAGTAAAGAAAAAAACTACTGAAAAAATCTTATACAGGTTTGAGGGATAGCTGATGACAAATCCTAGATGACATACAGCTAGTTTTGTTGTTATAAAAAATTGTAAAGAGAGAAAAATTAATTACTTATTTGCTTATAAAGCATTCCTATACATTTTGGAGAAAAATGGTTCAAATAACAGTTATAGATTTTAAAAAGTTCTTTGCCTTTTGAGTTTCTAAATTAAAAATACATAAACAATAGGACGAGATAATTGTAAAAAGACTACAAATAGAAAGCTTGATTGACAATAGAAGAGTTATTTAGCAGATCGTAATTGATTCTTTGTGGCCTCAATTTTAAGGTATATTAAAAAAATTTAACATTTTATTAAAAATTATTATTAAAAAAAAACATTTTAAAAAGGATTCACTTTTTAGCTAATAAACATTTATATAACTTTGATATTTTTTATGTAATTGTAAGTAGGCTTACTAAAAAGATGGTGAAAAAATCTTTTAAAAAAAGGAGCTTCTATGACCAATAGTAACCAAGATTACGGCCACATTAAAGTGGGGGGAATTTTTCAAGCTGTGGGATTTTTAGAATGAAACTTCAAATTCCAGTGCGGTGGAAAAATTGCAATATTTTGCCTTTTATGGCATGCAGAACATTCATTTTTTAAATGGGGTGGCTCGAGAAAATCATAAGAACTTGTCCACTTTCGCCTCCCGGAAAAATAAATAAATTATTTTTTTTTTCAATAAAAAATTTATTGAATTTTACTATTTCGTAAGAAATATTTAAATTTTAATAATTAATGTATTTATATTATTTATATACTTAAATATACAGTCAGATGTAAAAAAGGCAACATCAGAGAAAATTTTGGTCAAAGTATTTTAGTTTTTTTTTATTTCTAGTCCTATTTTTAATGATTTTTTTAGCACACTGTAAAAATTTATAAATTTTAATTTAGTATAGTGAGTTTTTTAATAAAATTTTGTATTTGACTTTATATAAGGGGTTAATCAAAGAGTGGTTTTTTATCCTAACTTTGAAACATCCTGTGGAATAATTCCGTTTGCGGATTTTCGTAAAACCTTGTTTTTCGGTTGCAACCATGTCTTCTCAGTATTATGTTTTTTGTTTCATGTGAAAATATGGATTGTTTTATTTTTAGGAGCAAAATGACTTTGCCACCCACAATTTATGACATTTCCTATTAGTACCATTATCTTTTGTATTAATTTATAATATGACGATGGAGGCTTTGGTGACTGATATCGAAGGAATGTCATATTGAAATCCCAGAAGCAC